ACGGGAAATACAAAAACAATAGAGAAGGAACGCTAATGCGTACCTTTACCGCGTGCACCACCGCGCCCACCACTGTAGCCACCATCGTAACTACCACCGCCATAGCCATAGCCGTCTGCGTTTCATGGAACACACGGTACAAGAGACAATGGGGTCAGTATTAACATGTACCGGCAAAAGTATACTTTTATTTGTATATTAAAATATCTCTATATTAATATCAATTGGAGCCGGTATTTAAAAAGAAAAAAGTTTTTAAATCTAAGTTTAAAGTTATCGAAAACATGTATCAAATGTAATTACATACAAGAAAACATATATTATCTTCCAAAGGGTTCATTGTTTGCACATTCAATATACATTCAATAGTAAGTGCAGAGGCTGCTGTTCAACAATTTTTAATATTAAATATCTGAATGCTATTCGAAATACTCACAAAAATGACATGCATTTAAATTTCTCAATCGTGACGAAATATTTCAGTGTATTTTATTCAAAATGATTCGCCACAGTCCCAGGGAAAGGAAGTGTGTGCAGGGTCGAACACGCGAGTGTATGTGTTGTAAAAAAACTTATTGGAACCTCCACGTGACGTATGTGCCATGAAATAATTTTGTAACAATAAACATTTATAATCAGATTAATAGAAAATGACATTTTTTTCGTGAATAACATAAAAATCATGCTGAAGACAATGAAAAAGCAATTAACAAAAGGACCAGATAAAACACAATCATTGCAAGTGTTGATAATTATTATCAAAAGGAGAATGTTAATTTTCCATGAATGAGTTGGTTACGTGAAATATAGAGTAAAACATGCGCATCGGGACTGATGGGACTCGAAAGCAAGGATTCAAGGTTTAATACCATTTCACAAGATATATCGTCCTGTGTAGTTTTACTTTAATGTTTTTTACACATCATAAGTTCACATATAATTATGTTACAGTGACTGCGTGTGTTTGAGGTTAGCGTCTGCAAAATTTCTAACGAAAATGTAAGAGGAAAAAAAGTGAAAAACAAATGAAAAAATCAAATTGTTCTACAGATTCACTGACATCAATCAGTGAACGTATGAAATATTAATATTTGTATGTGTTTTAAAGAAATTGTAAATATGTATACACATTATATTAGGATATAGTTAATGTGTTCTTACGAAAGAATATGAAAGTACTAGATAAAATTTATGCGGCACGTTTTGAATCACGAAAATCTTGGAACTCATTCTAATGTACTTTAATTTCTAATAAAGAAAATGTGTTGCCCTTCACACATTCACTGTTACATATTATATGATGTCTTGGTATTTTTTGGAATTCGTTATCAATGCCATATTCGTTTGTATGTATGTGTGTATATATATGTATATAGAATTTAAATATTTGCGAGACAAAGAATGTAACTTAATTTGATGAAATATGCAAGTTATTTGATCACAGCTCAAAAACATCCAACCCTCTGGAAGTAGGGATTATACACTTCGGATTATGCTATTGTTAAATTTAATTTCTTTTATGAACTTCGAAATTTGTTCGTCGCACCGCGTAAAACTGAAAACATACAGTTAGAGAAGAATGTAATCGAATAATCAGAATGCAGAAATATGTTACTATATCTTTATATTCGTTTCTGTATCATATCTTGACTTCTCTTAAAACGTGACAATATTACCGAAGAAAATATTATAGGAATGCTTCAATTATGCAAGAAAGTGATTTTGTTCATCATTTTCACAGCACATTTTCGTTTTATATAATACATCAAAAAATAAGGAAACACATGAAATTTGAAAAATGTTATTACCAAAGTAATACAGAAGATATAGCTCTTTATTTCTACAAACTTGTTGTAGAAATACTATTTACTTCACATAATATATTTAAAAACAAAAGAGAAGAACACAATCCGAATGCATTTATTACGTATTTGAGCTGCTGGTTCACTTTGTTATTTTTCAAATGCAAACTTAGGTTGGAATTTTGACAATATTATAGACACTTCCTTAAAGATCAAATTGTCTTTGACTTACAATATGCGTTAATTTAAAAATAAATATTATCGCTGATCCGCCTGCAAACCAGCGCTCACCCTGCAGCATCTATTAATAATATCATACATCTTTCATTATTTTGTATGATACATACATACAATAGCAATTTTAGTCACTCCATTAACGTACTACGATGTAGTACTATAAAGGCAGACGATTATAATTCATATAGTAGAAATGAAATTTGTTTCATAAGACTTAAAGTAAACCATTGGATGGATAGGCAGGTAAGAATATACTTTTGGTTAATATATGACAGCATAATGCGTTTGCTTTAGGTACTTGGAAATTACTTTAAATTTCATTTGATCTAATCGGATGTATTTTGAGTTACAAAGAACTCAAATATTACTATATTTTCTATTTCATTTATCATTGCTAATCTTTGAAATAACATTGAAAGTGTTCAATAATTTAAATAAAGATGCTTCAGAATGCAATCAGTATATCTGAACAATAATCTGAAATTCAATATTAATTATTTAAATAGTCAATCCGATTAAATGAGCTTTAACATATACAGTGATGCCCACTTAAATTTCACAAAACTCCGGGGGTAATTGTGAAATTCTCGCGGACAGGGTGCAGTTTGTTGACTCAAGCATGACTCAACGAAGTGAAAGAACAGATATAACGAGCGCAAGGCGAGATGGACGCAGTACGTCGAGCAGCGACAGTTGGGACCTAATATTTCAAAACTATACTGCAAGTGGAAAAAATAAACACACAAGAGCGAAAATTTTATCTTCAGTCATTTTTACCTTACTTTCATAAATGTAACACCAATGAATTGTTAAGATTCTCCGAATTAAAATGAGACCAGCGCAACGCAAATTAGACTAGCTTTATCGATTTAAAGCATTCATCATGTTTAATTTTGTTATTTCTATTAAATCGGTGAAAGTAGTCCGATTTGCGTCTTGTTTGAGTTCATTTTAATCGGAGGAGTCAACTAGCCATTGTTGCTACGACTATAAAAATAGGACTAAAATTACGGAAAATGACATTTTCTTCATTGGATGTTTAATTTTCACAATCACGGCATCCTATTGATGCGTGTCTGTTTTCTTTCTTTTTATTGTATTCATTCTTTACCCTTGGTTACTGAAATGAGACTTCGTCGAGCTCGAGGGACTGACTGGCGGGACAAGAGTGGGGACGAGTCTTGGAAATTTAACCGTACGGATTTTAATGAAATTTAAACGGGCATCACTGTATATTTGAAAATGTAGATTCTGAGTATACACACGTGGCAGAACATATTAGTTATCCGGCCACGAACACTTGAATTTTAAAGAACCTCTAGTAATTTTAGACGATTCTCTAAACTACAGTGGAAAAGATGGATGAAAGACACAGGGTAGACAAGTCGAACATAAAAGCTTATAACTTATAAGTGTAAATTGCATTATCGTCTGCCGAATACACTGGGACGGTAGCAGCAGACAATCATCTGCCATTGATTATTATGAAAAGGAAAAACCAAATTCTTTGAAATGATCCTACACAGCGATAAGCGCGTGTAAGTTCTTTAATAATAATCAATCAAATTACCGTATCCACTGTAGCCGTAATCACCATAGCCGCCGTACCCACCGCCATAATAATCGTAGCCTCCTCCGTAGCCATCATAGCTACCGCCGTAACCGCCTTGCCCGTAACCGCCACCGTATCCGCCTCCGTAACCACCTTGACCCCAACCGCCTTGACCGCCAAAACCGCGTCCTCTGCCACCCCTTCCGCCACGTCCGCCTCGTCCGCCAGCGCCGCCACGCATACCGCCCATGCCGTCTGGTTTAGGTGTGGCTTTCTTCACATCGACCTACACAAACAAATATTTTAGTATTTTAGTATTGCGTCAAAATTAATTTTTCATGTTTGAGATACTATTATGTAAAATAATATAACTCACCTCTTTACCATTTATCGTTTGCTTGGGAGTTTTCAATAATTCATTTACTACTTGTTCGGATTCGAAAGTAATAAAGCAGAACCCTTTCCTCTGGTTCTTTGTCTTATCGAATGGCATTTCTACTTCGACAATCTAAAATAAAGAGTTGATTTAAACAATTTTTTTTACTTGTAATAACGTGGTATTTATAACGGGGTACAATTGATACAAACAACCGTAAGTTGATGTACTTACGGTTCCAAATTGTGAAAAGAAAGTCTTAATATCATCATCGGATAATTCCGTTGAAAGACCTCCGACAAAGATTTTTCCATGCCTAGCCTTCGCCTTCTTAGGGTCTACTTTCTTATTGTTGATTACATGTTCGCCAGCTGCCATGATCTAGAAACATAAATTATTCTTAAAAATATATTGCAATTTGTAAGCTTGTAACGTTATTTTACACTGTAAATTCAGAACTTGGAATATCTTCAAAAAACTTTCAGTAGCAGAACTGACAAAAAAGTATCATCATATCAATGAAAGTAATGCTTATTTAACGCATTGGGAACTCTATTTATTCAAAATTTTTCATTAAACCATAGAGTATGATAGTTTGTTGCAAAAATCTAATCAAATATACCGAGCGACGCGATCACGTTTATTTTTTCCATATAATGTGCTATAACAAAATTGAAGTTCTTTTACTTATGAAAAACTGATTTTACCAATAGTTGGACCATACATGAATTATATTAGTATTTATGTGTATTCTATCGGAATAGAAATAATTTTTATATCTTAGAATACACACAGTAATTTCTTGAAGTTTAGTATCTACACGCTAGTATCATTTACACACTTATCTGACTTTTATCGATTATAGTAAAATTACTAATGAAACAGTACTATCTAAAATATAATTCTTACTTCTCAATGTATTGCTTTACCTTATCGAGTGATTCTGCTTTCGCGAACACAATGAAAGCAAAACCTCGTGAACGGCCGGTGTTAGGGTCCGTTTTAACATTGATACTTTCAATGTCTCCATATGTCCCAAAGTGATCGCGTAATTCCTCTGAAAATTAATAATTTCATTTGAAAACTACGAATAAAATGGGAATTCTTTCTGTCCTTCAGTTTTTTTAAAAAATAAACTCAGTTGGAACACTAATTAGTCTCATATGACAATGTCATCCGAAGGTGTCCTAAGTGAAACATCATTGTTTAACTCGTATCACGTGTATGAAAATATTTTATGAGTTGGGAAGTTAATTATTACGAAAGTAGTTCAAAACAAATTATTTTTGTCTAACAAGAAACACATTGACTGGTGAAGGATGCCGAATTTAGTATATGTCGAAAGCTATACACGGAATGTAAAATTATGACTGTTGAAGAATTGAAAAATACTCACTATCTGTGGTCTCCCAGCTTAATCCGCCAACGAATAATTTCCTATAAAAAATAAAACAATTATTCAGTAACATAAAATTCGAAAATTAAATATTAAAAAAATGTTTCAGCTTCAGTGAAGAGCTTAAATTCTCAAAAAGCTTTAGAGTTATAAAAAAACTATTGCGTTTCGATCACGTAACTAATGCAACATATTTTGAGTTCTCACTGCCATGCATATATTCAACAAAAAGAAAGAAAGAAAAATAATAATAAATTTAATGTACCTATCATTCAAGGAATCCTGGTTACCACCGGTTGATCTGTAAAGCAATGTAATGAATTTTAATAAACTGATCTTGAAACTTTTCTGTAATTATTAAGGACTAAGGTTGAAGCAAAAATTTATGTTTTGTTATAAATCATTTCCAGTTATATTTAAAAAAGGAGTTTGACTTGACCCCTGGAAAAATTAGAATCAGAGTTAAAATATTAAAATTTAGTATTGACAATATACACAAAATGTAATAAAGAACCAGTAGTATATCATTTGGAAAAGGGGCACTGGATAAATTTTTAAAGACATTTTGGTAAGGAATTTTATTTAATAGGTAATATAAGTAATTTATTATATGTTTCTTAGAAATATATAAATATATACTCATATAAATGTATTCTACAGTTGATTAAGTGACCTACATTAATGTCTACTTTGAAAATTTGGAAAAAATGTCTTTGTGAGAACAAAATTATTATCTTAAATTCAAACTTGCGATATTAATAAGAACATGAGAAATACCATTCCTAGAATAGATTAACTCACTGATACAAGCTTATCATACAAAAGATACGAGTGTTCGTCCTTATAAGAAAACAGAAGATTATGAGAAATAACCATGAGAAGACTGCTTTGCACACCACATAGACCTTGACTTGAACTTCAAATGAATGTGCTTATCAACAAAAAATGAAAGGAAAAACTTGGAAAAAAGTGTATATAATATATATATATGTAAAAATTAACGCAACGAGAGAGCAAAGTACTTTTGATGACGTTCATGTGAACCCGAACAATAGTTACAACTCCAGTTGACATACGGCTGCTCCTAAAGGAAATAAGATTTAACTTTTCCAAGTTGAACTCTGACTGCTGATTGGCCCAAAGAATTGGCATATGGTAGATAGACTGCAACTCTATTAAAAAGCTAAAAAAATTGTTTTCGCATTACAAGTTAACGATGGTTACTTCTTGAAACTTTTTTAATATCTATATTATGCACACAATATTGGACGTTTATATTTATGTTTATGTATATATATATATATATTAATCTCTCTCTCTCTTTCTTTAGTTGTCAGCAAAATATTATTATGTCTCAAGTCCTGATATACTTTTCAGCCTTTTCATATACAAATACAATTATTAGCTGCAATATTTTTCATTTTTCTGGCAGTGTGATGGTAGTTGTCTGTACTTAGATTGATCTTTTTGTATATCATCTAGGGCTGGTGATAAATACCGTAGGCACCAGTCACTCGCCGGTAATCAGTTGTTGGTCGGGTCACGGTTAGCCGGTTGCGAGCCGCCCGCCATAATCGCACTGGGTCGTTTGCCACCTGCAGACCAAGCCACATAAACTGGGTTAATGGCATTCCGACCTATCGGAGGTTTTCGCATTGGCCCTAGTGACTCTGTGCTTTGATCACGCCCAAACAGCTTTGACATCGGATCAGAAATTACTCTACGCGTGACCCAGCAGGCAAGTGTGTGTCTGTGCGAGACTTATTGACTCTGACGTTATTGACTCGACTTCCAGTGCTTGTGTTGTGACGAAACATGACGGACTTGAACTTGACGTTGACTTCTCACAATAATTCAGACTCAGAAGTCAATCGATAGGCTTCACACGTTTCAGTTCACAGTTCCCAGGTAAGCGTACATATTGGTCAATCGTATGCAATTGACTAACAACCAGAATTCTGCTGCAATGAATCAATGAGGAAGACTCGGCTGGCCAAAAATGCATTTCAAAGTTATACGCACTCTATAAAAACATTACAATTATTATTTGCGTGTAATGTACACAAATTTGTTCATTCATGAGAATCACAACTTCTTTTCATCGATTACAAAACTAGAATAGAATTAACTAGGTAGGAGAGCAGAAATAAGGAGTTTACACAAAATTACAAAATTTTAAACAGATAAACGTATACCTCGCAACAACAGCACATATAAAGTTATAACTAATACTTATTCTTATATATGTATATAGATAACCTTATCTTAATTTTGCAAAAAGAAACAACATGCAACATTTATTTTCATCTTTCTTTTATATATTATGTTTCTTTATTGTAAAGTAGAATGCCAGCCATTAGTTATTTCCTTTTGTTACTTTATGCATAAAAATCACGCCCTTTTACACGCACACCTATATTTTAATAGAGGGTGAGAGGAGGCACACCTCCAAATTTTTATACTTTCAATAGGAAGATATCAACAGAAAACAAAAATTATTTTTCATGTTCAACATTAAAGATAATTCTTCACAATAATAATATTGTGAATATAAATATTTCTTTTAAATTTGAAGGTTACATCATCTTTCCCTATATCATTTTAACCCGCTAAGCCACACGTGGGGTAGAATTTTAGCCGAAGTGATTCTTAATTGATACAACTTCAAAAAAAGAACAAAGAAAAAGGTATCAAAATTTTAACATACAAAATACAAAGAGGTACATTTAATAACCAATTCACTTTTTCTCAAATAGAACAGAACATGAAAACAAAATGCTACAATTTATAAATCATAGATCACTTTATATATGATTATAGATGATAGTATAAAATTTCCAATAGTTAATTTTTGGTGCACATTATTATCTTCATTGTATGTATTTTATTTTTTACATAAACATGCCACATGTAAACAAAGATATATATGGAACTTGTATTAATTTTTTATTGTGTTTATATATTTAAAGTAACTTTTACGATAGAAATAAATTATATTTTCCAATACAACACAGCATTTTCCAGCTCTGCCATTTCATAATCAAAAGAACAAAAATTTTAAGATACAGGAAAGTATTTTTAGTGAACAAAGAAAAATGTATTACAATAACTACAGTATGTATCTAATAAAGAAATGGTATACTACCTATTACATTTATTTATACTGCATCAAAAAGTTCTTTAAATATTATATTAAACATTGATACATGATTAATTTCTTTGAACATAAAATGCAACATTTGGATACATTGTTTACCAATACCACTTAATAATTATACAATGACAATAAATAATTAAAAAATGAATAACTTGATTTTTATGTGCATTACAAAATAATTATATTTCTTGGAATAACTAATATTAATTAAAAGTTATTCTTGAATATGAAATATGAAACAGATACAATTCATCTATTGTCGACTTTTTTTGTAACATTGTACATATTGAGTTCAAATATATTCAAAAATATTCTGCAAATACCAACTATTCCTGATAAACAAGGAATTAAAAAATAATCCTTATAAACAAAAATCATTACAAAACAAAGTTTTAGGGTAGGCATTTACCCCACACGTAGCTTAGTGAGGCCACAGAAAATAACGTGGCTAAGGTCAAATACTTCTATAAGTTACAATCTAAAAATAGCTTACCCATATATGCAAAAACATACCCCAAACTATGTAAGAGTTTGCGATAATCCAAAGCTGTAGGGACACAAGTTAAAAAAAAAAGTAAAATCCCTTTAGTATAGAACCCAAAATGCTGTGACAATGGAAAACAGAAAATAAGAGCGAATGTATAATTGTAATATCACAGAATATTTACATAAAGACTGTGTATTCCGTACATCAACATCAGACTAAACTCTTCGGTGCTCAAATCGTCCAGCTCATCTTGTTATGCTGAAAAAGGGGAAAGGCCAAGGTGCTGTGCCACCAGCCACCAACAAATCTTACAATCTATTAAATACTTCTAAGAAAATATCACGATGTTATTGAAGTAATAAAATATTATTACCCTCCCTGAATTATCTAAATATTCATATTAAAAATATTATTTAAAACTGTTTTGGCGCTTCAATGCGTGAGAAAATTCGTGCGTGGAAACGAAATTCTCGAGAACGTGATAGAATGTACTTGTAACATAGGAGAGAAACGAGCCCAGGCATACAAAAAATATTCTTGTATTCGATCATAAAAGTTTCTCATCTTTGCATTGCTTCTAGGACAATGCGTGGGCGCGCCCTTTCTCAACTAGCGGCCGGCATTTCTACTTGTTTGACTCATTTCCTTTTTATTGTTATTTCTAAAGTGCTTAGCAAAAAATGATTAGTACCAAGGAATTTTCCATTCTGCAGCGATTTAAAAAAAATTAACTAAGACATTAAAAACGCACGCTTCGTGATCGATGCAAACGGATTTCAATTTTGAGAACCTCGCGCATCCGCCATTTTGTCATTCGCGACTACGTATCGCGCGAAGTAATTTTCAGTATGTGGAAAGCTTTCTTGGAAAAATTCACGCGTATCCCATGTATCGAGTGAATCGAAATCGATCTGAATTAGAATTTGAGTAGAAAATCGAGATCTAAGACAAAAAGGTTACCTGTCCTCTTGAGACTCTTGGCCATTTTCTGCGGCGTCCCCGCCGCCGTTCTCTGCTTCGCCGTTCTGCTCGAAGTTTTGATCGGCGATATCTTCGCTGAAGTCCTTGTTCTCCTGATCGGCCATATTTTATATTTAGTTAACTATATTTTTAATGAAACACTTAAAAACACAATTCGAAATCGTGTTTTTAGGAATATTTAAATACACTGCACGAGCTAACTACACTCTCACGTCCGTACTGATCGGCCGCCGAATGGAGAAGGGAGACCTACGACTTGCGCTCAGTTTGACTCAGATTCCGCGCAAAGCATCATGGAATCTCTTTTACCTCCCCCAATATACCTCTCAGCCAATCAGAATTTAACATTCAGGGCCGTGCCTTGTATTTCTTAAATGTGAACCTATGATATTCCAAATGTTAGATTTGGATATTAATTTTACAGTCTTCATTTTGATAATACATTGCCAAATTTGTTTTTATTCCAGCAAACTTATATAAATTTACAAAACCTTGATTTTTATTATCAATGCGTAATTTTTTTATTTTAGTAAAATATTTATCCTGTAAAACATTTCTATTCGTTTTTAAGCGCTATGAGTTTGTAGTTATTGTAAATATATATATATATATATATATTTATTTACAAGTTTTACATTACGTGTTATTTAAGAAGTTTCACTTTCTTTTGATATATGTTAATATTTTTCAGTTTAATTCTTATTAAATACAAATGTTATGTTATACTTTCATGATATTCTCACTATTATGTTATTGTACTGTTATAGAAGGTACTAATAATTACTTTCAATTGTTAAACATATTTATACAAACGTTATTGATATGTACAATTAAGAAGTATTACAATACATTATCATTCCTAATGAAACTAACCTATCAAACTCTGTTTAAGTAAGAAATGAAACTCTATTTAAATAAGAAATATACAAATTATTTGATTATTGGTAAATGAATTTCGTTGTAAAGAAATAATTACTCAATATTTGTGGGTATTTTCTAGAATTTCGTGTATATATTATACATATTATTAAAAATAACATTGGCTATACGTTGTATACTTACATATTTAAAATGTATTTACTATTAAGATTTATCTCATATAACATTTTAAGAATAAAAGCATATTTGCATTAAAGTAATATCTTTATATATAGGTCTCGAATTTTTGGAATACAGTTTTAAATATTGTTGAATTTTGTTGTAAGTTAATTTTTGTAATCAATTTATTTCAATTACTTCAGTAATATTTAACATAAGTCTGATATTTAAGACAAACAGTTCTAATACGTGAACATTTGTTCTGTAACATTAAATTACATGAAAAATTTTATTCAACAGAAAACAAAGAATCAGAATCGCAAGGTATTGATACGGCCCTGCAACACCAATCGATGTCTGCTGGGAATTCCACGATGCCAAGGGGGAACAGCGGATATAATGGTATGCATACGAAAATTTTGGGCGTGGGGAATGGAGCGAAAACGAAGGGCCAATCAGACTAGCGACAAATGTTGAGTAGTACGTAGCAGCCAATAGGAACTCACCGAAGAACCGGCCATTCAGTAGCTTCATTTCCCAGAATTCTATGCGTGTGAATTTCTAAGAAATCAATAAAATATTCCTTACAATCTCATATTAGTTCTACCGCTTATAGCTTTTTTAATTAATTTAAAAAAATTTTTATTGTTTGACACTTTTCATAATTTGTTTAAATCAGGGAAAACGAATTCGATCGTTACATCTGCCCAATAAAAGCGGGAACGTTTACGTTGATTCAGCATTCTCATTGTTTCATAGACGCTAACAGTTGGCGCTGTCATCGATGAAGATGGCGACACGTTACACTTGAAATTGTAAAGTTAGATATAAAATAAATAATTTTTATTTTATATTTAAAGTCGTCAATTGTTAATAATGTATTTTTTTTATTAAAATAGATTTGCTCATGAATTTAAAAAATTTCAAAGTATTGATGGGTATTAAAAATGTTACAATACTCTATTATTTAATAAAATTATTATTATCTCATAATATTGTTATCTCGTTGCAGAAGTTAATCTTTATTTCTCAATCCTCAATTTTCAATAGAGTAATTAATCATTACTATGTAATTGTTCACAGTTTTTTTTAAATAGCAATTAGTTTGCTTAGTTTCAATTTTTACGCCAGTTCTTTGTTTATAATACGTGATTTTAATGTTGTTAAATTTGTACATAGAAAAAATTTTTTTCAAGTAGAAACTTATTTTGATTAATTGTCAAAATGCCAGAACGAAAGGTAAAACTACTTTGCCCTTCAGCGTTTGTTATAAATTAATAAAGCAGAAAATTATATTTCCTTTTTCGATCAATGTATGCTTCACCCATAGATTTTAAGGTTATCAGATGTCTGGCGTGTTTGCAATAAAATACGGGCTGCAATTTTCCGCGTGGGATTTAACCTGTGGGATTATTATAAACCTTTAGATCCTGATAAAAATTGTTTAATTTCAGGTATAATTATACAAATATGAAGTAAATAATTATTTATATAAATATATATAAATACAATTATTCTTATTATTAGTATTGTAGTTGTACATACATGTTTATCTATATACCAGCTAGTGTAACATATTAAAATTGCCGCTAATTAATACATTAAAGATGTTATATTATCTATTGAATGCAATTTTATATTTTATTACTTCTATTGAATTCTCATTATATATACACCAAATTATATTTAATATGAATATGTATAAAATACATTTCTTCATTTAATGTGTATTTCAAAGTAGTTTATTGTTATGATTGATATTTTGTAATAAATACTTATTTTTTTTAATATATATTTTAATATTTCAATTTAATAGGATATTGACTTCCATATTTAATCACAAATAATGTATGTTTATATATAATTTCATTTACTATAGTATGTCTTGAATCTAATTATATAAACTATATAATTCTAATGGAATATATTATATAGAGTTTTCCAATAGACCAAAATGTAATTACTTATCACTCATTATAATATTACTGTTGTGATGAATATTAATTACAGATGTATAAATTATATGGTTTAGTATTATTGTAGAAGTATAAGTAAGATTATATATATGTATACATAATTTTTTATATAAATATGTTTTAACATTATACATGTTAATGAAGCACTAAATTTAATCTACAATCAGAAATTTTGTAATGTGATATTGTTATTAATACGCAGAGTCAAAGTTTATTTCTGTGTTGGCTGGCCCACTGAAAGATAAAATTGGTTTATCCGATAAAGAAATCTGTGATATAGCTGATTATTTTCGTGTTCAAGATGGCAGAATACTTTACACACAGTTTTGTACAATTATTCATGAAAACGGTATGAATATTTTATCTCTATATGTGTATGAATCTTTGAATGATTATAATTTTGATAAGAATTAATATTTGCAAGTACTGTCAGTTATGCTGTGATAGTCTATATTATTTCTTCATCTATGTTTGTATAACATTTTATATGTAAGACCTTAGAATTTTATTTTCTAGTTTCGTAACTTCAAAGATAATTAATAACTTTTACTTAACTGCTCTTCCATCATTTTAGTTCAATTTACACGCAGAATACTTCTTTTATAACATATTATTTTACATTTTGGATAATTATTTACAAAATATTTATTATTGTATGTATTTATGAAATTTGTAGTATCTGATCTTTGTATTACCTTAGAAAGTGTGAAATTGTTTTTGTATTATATACATAAATAAAAATTTATATTAACATTTATAAAAGACACTTAGGGTATGTATTTTTTATCTTGTTTGTTTATGAAAAAATGTATAAGACTGTAAAATTAATAATGAACATTAACTATTGTTATAAGAGAATTTTGTACCTTTCTTATTTGTTTTACTTTCAATATCATCAATATTAAATTTTCTGTAGATGTGTACATATATAATATGGATGTAAATTATTGCAGCAAAATATAATTTTATAATTCATAAAGTAATCGTAAAATGTGGCGTTTGATGGTTATGTTCTCAACTTCTTCGGTGGCTGTAATGATGGGCTCATAGAAAGATATTCAAATAGTATGTATTTAAGCTTGTAGATTAAGATTCAACTGCTACGATCATTAGAAAAGTTGAGAACAGGTCCGTTTAGTAACGGAATTAAGTGTCTTAAATATTTAGATTTTAAAATTAGTTTGTGGACCTTTGTGTACATACATGGCTTCCACATTTTGCACTACATTTCATAAAAACTTCATATTTTAATTGTATGTTTCAATTACTAGTAAATAATAAATGGTCAGAAATTCTCGTGGAAAATTTTGGTGCTGCTATAGAGTGCCTAAAATGAAAGGAATTTGTAGTTGACCGCTATACCTGACCTGGTACCGTTAAGTGAACTCATCATTGTGCCGAAATTTACTTCCTGATATACAATCTTCTACTATATATAATCTGCTCGCGGTCATAAGAAATTATTTATGTCGTAAAATATTAGTATAACAAATAATACAATGCACGCACAAAAATAATTTACTATTTTTATTGCAGTACCAGAATTCGATAAAAATAAAGCTTTAATAACTGGATTAGAATGGGAAGATCCAGAGCACGTGAATCGGTTAAGTGCAACAGAATATCGAAAACTATGCCTTATTATTACTCAAATTGCAATTTTTGTAAGCAAAAGGAGGCTGGTCTTAAGACCCTACTTTCAAGATTATGAATTGGTGCGTGTAATAATTATTTTCTTTTTTAAAGAGAGGATTAATTTATTTAAGAATATTTAAAAAGTAAGTAATTTATGAAATTTATATTGACCACATTTAACAATGTTTTATATTCAAGTTATATTTTAGTCATCTTAATATTATATATATTAAAATTTTAACTTTTCAATTAATTGTATATATTTAATATTTTGTTATTATAGTAATTGATATTATGTATTAGGAATTATATTATCATAAATATAATGACAAATATGTTTACCTAATATTTGGTTTTTGTTACCATTTTATACTTCTTCATCAATCCCAATCCTATTTATTATATTAATTTATTATCTATGTGGAAGTAATATACTTTTTTATTATCATTATCGCTGTAGCCCTTTTTGTTTACTATAATGAAACAATTATTTTACATAAATAAATTAAAATAAATCTTTAAGTTATTGTTTGTAGATTGCAAAGAATGCTGGTACAGTAACATTTGCACATTTTGGACGGATTTTGAAGTTCCTGGGGATTATCCTTGCATGCAATGAATTTTCTTTACTTGTAAAAAGATTTGCGAAAGATGCTTATACGATTAACTATGTAGCCTTCCTGCAAGCAGTTGACGAAGTTCAGTCTTATCTGGACAACCATGGAATGTTATCTCTTGGCGGAGTAATATTTTGCAAACTTTCTATCTATACATCTTCTTATATTTATTATATTAACTATCTATAATTGCTTCATTTTGATATCATATTGAATTAAAACATGCAGGAAAACAATTAATATATAAAAGAATTCAAATATTTATTTCTAAGAATAATTGCATTTCAATGTTCTATATCATTACTTTTCATCTTTTGTATTCGAAAATTGAATTATACTGAACATAAAATTTCTACATTAAACTACATTTTTTATATTTAAATGAAATATGGATATAAATGTCGCACAGTTGACACAATAATGTTCATTCCAGAGAAATTACTTTTATAGTATATAGAAACAGAAATAGATTTTTGCACAAATTTTTAGAGTTTCTGACTACTTCATTTTATGTCTTTTGAACTCCCTGTCTAAATGTTTTACACTAATTTTGGCTACAGAAACTCTTATATTGGCCAATAGTCCCAATTCTGTAATCTAGAGAACATAAATGTAAACATTTAATTGTATTCTATTCTTTGTTGATTCATGCTCATCATGTTTTCTTCAATGTTAGGAACAATATTCCTCTCTTGCTCTCGAAATCTTCTATTAGCATCTTTACTTACATTTACAGTAATTTTAAGTATAGTTTTTTAAAATTATTTATTTATTAGAATATGAAAATGAAAGTAAAACCAACTGGCCATTAATTGAAAACAGAGTTTAGACATTTGGAGAGTTTTTTATCTTAATGGTTTAGTATCTTTCTTTCCAATTTAATTGTTAACAGATGAATGCAAATTATTTTTCTTTGTATTTGTAACAAATGTAACCGTAAATGTAAATTGTTCTTTTATTTTATTATCACTCTTATGTAACATATAACGTTGAATGAATTTATAATTTATACACTTTAATGTGTAATAAGTGTACGGAAATTTGTTTAACTGTTTGTATGTATGTAGAATTTATTTTATATCGTTCTACAGGCGTGTATGATATGATGAGTTTTTTCACAGTGGTTGTTAGAGGGTAGATATGCACTTGCTCGGTAAAAATCGTTACGATCGATATCGCGTTTATACAACCTTTATGGCTATTGTTGTAAGGCAGATCTTGTATGTACGACTGATACATTTATCACAGGTAGAAAGTAAAAATTTGTGTAATTAATGCAACTAAATTTGAAGCGATTGGATCAATTCAACGTAAATGCAACATTTCCCTCAGTATTTGAAAAAATATGGATACAAAAATATAATATATAATAGAAACATGGTAAAATTTAAAATAATTTAAAAATATAAACTTTGAAGATTAATATTTTAATAATAAAATGTTCAATATTTATATTTTATTATTCAATCGTTGAAATAGAATGTTGAGATTGTTAATGAATGCGAATGATTGTACAAATATAAATAAAATATGCATTTTCTAATTTTCCAGTAGAATCGTTGTGGATTATTTTTGTAATTTATTTTAAAGGAATTACTAGATCAGTTTCCTGGCCGAATTATCACAGCGGAACTACCGAAATTTCCACGACCGGAAATCGGTAAGCTGATACCCAGCAAAGTGTTTGGGAAACAAACAGTGTTTCATCCGGTAATGGAGGATCCTAAAAGTATGATGCCCTTAATGGAAGTTGTTCAACGCGTCCAAAGACATATTTTTGAGAATAGGATTCGTATTTCTGAATTTTATAAGGTTTATTATATGTCTTTTCTAGTATACAATAATAGACATTTTTTTATTACGCGTTACATAATTAAATAAATATTGCACATGCATGTAAGTACAGAGACGTGAACAATGGAAGAAGTAACATAAGGTATAGGTCTACATGAGACGGTAAATTTTTTATCAGTTTCAAATCGATTGTAGTACATGTTGCAATATTACCTTTAATCAATATTTTAGTTTTGAATGAATGTGTTTCTAGGACCTGATATAAGGAATTTGTTTGCTTCTATACTCATGCAAAAATACTTATTTTTGAAATCTGTATGTTTATATGAAAAATCATTGAATTCCTATGTTTCTTCTGTATATTACTATATTTTATATATTATTGTAAAAATTATAAATTTCAATGCTATATTTTTATTTCTTTTTATTTTCCAAAAATGAAGCAGTATTCTAACTTTTTCAACTATTCATATTTGAGAAACTACGGGTATGACAAGATATGTTGATTTTCATGAATTAAACGAACATTTAGTGTTCATTTTATTCAATTGTTCCTACAAACATTAATGTTCCTTTGTTTAAGTCTTGGAAATTAGAGATTTTAAAATAGATAATTGGGATATATAGTCGCCTAATTGTATCAATCAAAATCTACGTAAATGTTTACCAAATAATATTAATAATATGCATCGATTTGATGTGTTTTTTAAACCTAGTGTTAAAAACTTTCATATTAAGGTATTCACAATAGAAACACTTGTAACTAAAATATACATATAAATAAATCATGATAGAGATTTGATCATTTGAACGTCGGAAAAGTGACCATCTCACAGTTTAAAAGAGGCTTAGATGGTCTTCAAATTTCTACTTTGGGACGTTTGTATCTCGCCGAACCGGAAATTAACGCCCTCGTGACGCTTTATAAAGATCCAAATGATCCAGACCGTGTGTGTTGGCGTACATTTGCAGACGATATAGATCAAGGTATTAATTATTAAAAACAGAACATACCGACTATTAAAATTAAAGTAACCACTTTAAGTTAAATTTGATGTTTTTCAAATTTTCTTTATAAAGTTTACGTTTTAGTTGTATGTTACATATATGTAACATATAAAGTTATTTGCTCATTTTTTAATTAAAACTTTAGTGTTTACCATTAAGGAGCTCGATAAATTGCCAAATTTGAGAATCGAATCACCGCCAATTGAAATAGCAGAGTTGAGTCGAAAAGGAACAACCAATTGGCAATGTGTGACAAAGAACACAAGAGACTTGTGCGAGGAAGCGTTACAGAAAATCCGATTCCGTATAAATGAAAGAAGAATTTTGATAAAACAGTTTTTCAAAGATTATGATAGGTACAATCATTTTATTCTTCTTTACTGCTAGGTCGTTGTTTTGTAACAATGAAACAAACGTTAAATATCTACAAATAATTCATGTAAACTTTCATCGTTGTTTTCGATGTTATTCTCCTACGTTAGTCGTGTTATTCTCCTACTACCTCTGAAATTGAGAGCCCCATATATTACAAAAAAATCTATATTGTACCAAAATGAAAATTTTGAGGTATAAGGCTGGGGGAATAACTTTGTGCACTGAAAATTGAAAAGAGTGGAAAAGATGATGGAAAGAGAGAGGAAAGGAAACGAGGCATGTTGTTCTGGGTCTGCTAGTTGACTCATCAGAAAGGTTACCTAGCAGACCCTTCCCTAGACGCGGGAATATCCGATGGTCGGTTAGGGGCAGTATACAGGGTGTTCAATGAAATAAATACCGGAAGAAAGAGAACAATTATAAATATCTTCTTTGCTCTGTTTGATATAAAAAAATTTCTTATACAGTAGTCTATAAACCCGGTTACGAGTCGATAATAACCCATACAAGTGGTTGATATGACTTTAAATAATTGATATAAGAAATAGAAATGTTTGAATCACAATTCGAATAGTTTTGAAGAAGAATACACTAAGGAATGAAAATTTTTGTAAATAACCAATTTTTAAAAAATTTTGTTAAATTAGAAAGTATATCGTTGCCCACGGTATTACTTTAGGTATTTATACGATAAAATCTGAAATTATATATCAATTCTAACACTACTTTCGAACTGAATCGCTTTTTTATGTTCAAGGTTGTATCAAAGTCATATTTTAGGCATATTTGAGCGTGTTCTAACATCCACTATAAGATGCAATAGAAAGAATAATATGCTTCCCTGCAAAAATAATGGTAACCTTTGAAAAATTAGAAAAAGTGTTTGTTACAAGAACGAAGAATATTGTTAGATGTTCTTTTTCATTTGGAACACTCTGTATATAGACGTCAGTACCTATAGTAGCTAGGGAGAATGTATTGGTTTAGGAAGTTGTACCATTCCTTTATTTGACGTCAAATGACCTTGTATTATAGATAGCTTAAATTCTCTAAAGATCCGTTATTTTTCTGGAAACACAAAGAGAACAGTGTGTTGTGCACATAGTAATAACGTGCTTTAATTTTGTTTTAAATCTTCCATCTAAAAATAATATTAGCATATAGTATGTTATAGCTTTCATGATTTTATATAGATTATCAGGAATAATATTTTGTTTTGGCTTAAAAAAATAATGAAGAAAAATGATCAAAGTTATTATTTTCGCTTATATATACACTTAATTATTATATTTCATAGATTTAATCAATTTGAAGTGAAGAAACGTTATGATGAAACATTACGTCGACACATGCACGCACGCACACACACACAAACGCACAGTAATTGTATTTTATAAATGTAATATTCTTAAGTCTTACTTTAATTAAAATAGTTTTAATTTTATATATTTGACATTCCCGTTTTATTCCTTTATTTATACCAATGTATTGTTTAGAAATAACAAAGGTCACGTATCACGATCCCAGTTACGTCAAGTTTTAACTACTGCGACCGTTTTGCTTTCTCAAGAAGAGGAATTTGCTTTGGAACAAAGGTACAACGATGAATTGGGTTTCAATTACGTTTGGTTTTTAAAGGAGCTGGAATCGAAACCAATTGAAGCATCTCTTTACGATTCTGTTTTACAAGAGAAACAAAGAATTAATTCTGAGAGACCGCCTCCTGAAGCTGACGCAAATGAAACAAATAGTGTCCTAATTTTAGCTAAAATTAAAGCTAAAGTTGTACGAGAAAGAGTAAAAGTAATTTTTTATATTTATACTTCTGTACAAATTTTACTATAAGTAATAATTGAAATATTCATGAGTTTTTTAATTATTGTTTGTAATTTTTTAGTCTATAGATAGGTAACTTTAAATTCTCAATATATACAATATAACATTTACTTGATTTTGAAAATTTTTACATATATTTTGAAGTAACACGAGTCAAAACATTTGAACACGAATGAATTTTTTTTTGTTTCATAAATTAATTTTATTCATTTATTTCATATGAAGGTCATCGAATTCATGCGTCAATACGATTTTCATAATGAAGGCGTTATAAAAAGGTCACAGTTTTTGCAAGGACTTGACCAGCTCCGGTGTAATTTAACTTGCATAGAAATAGCAACTGTAATGAAAGTGTTCCGATCTCCATTAAGGTACAACACTTGATTAAAAAAATCTATTATTAATAAGTCATAAGCATACTTTGTGATAACAAATTTTATCATTAATTAACTAATTTAATTTAAATGTTTTTCATCATGTAGGAAACGAAATTTCACTTAAAATAATTAATACTCCATTTAAATTTATTATGAAAGCAGATGGAGCTGATATGAATATAATATTACTACCACTTTTTTATTTACATATTTCAATTTCTTATCTTTTATAAGTTTATAAAATTTTAAATATTACAGACCCATTTAGTAAACAATAGTAAGAAGTCACATGTAGTATTAAAGTCAAAGTTAAGTTCATGATATTCTAAGATAATAAATATTTGATTCGAGGTTTTTGTAGGATTGAAAGAAAATACCAATTTATACTACATTACAAATATAAAATTACTCTAGTTATATAAATGATATATAAAAGGTATCATCATTGTGGTTGTTGAATTGTAAAAATTATAGTATTCGTATATTTAATAAATTTAAAACAGAGTACAGTGATGTATTAAAAAGTTTTTCATTTCAAAGACCGGGATACGTGGATTATGTAAGATTCGGACATGCTGTTGAGGAAGCTGTTGCTACGGGAGGTCTAGAACGAGCACCCCTTTTAGTGCCCGTGCAACATATCCCCCCGGAAGCGTCTCCTAAAACATTCTTGAATTTCGAAGAGAGGCATATGGTTACGACAGCGATGAACAAGTTGTCCATGGTACAGCAGCCGAACTTGGAAGAGATATTCAAGGTCAGCATGCATATTCAAAATACGAATGTTATGAATAAATATACAATATTATATAGAAACATGAAATGGTAAAATGTAAATTGTTCTCTTAAATTTCGTTAGATATTCGAGTAAATTTTAAATATTAAATATTATAAATATGTTGCAATAATTACAGGAAATATTAAAAATATGTAGCTATTAATTGATAAACAATTTACGATTACAAATCGTTTTCAATCGTGAAATATTAAATACAACGTGGAACATGAAATATGCGCATTAATTAAATGAAATTCATACAAATTAAAAAAAAGCAATGACAACAAATTTAAATATTTGTTACAGGATTTCGACAAAGAAAATATCGGTACGGTTCCAAAGGAGTGTTTGATCAAAGCTCTTTCTGTCAGACGAATGTTACAATTAATAAGTGTCAGAGAAGTGGACGTTGTGCATAAATGTTTTTCCATTGAAAGAGGTGGTCGTTTGGAAATCAATTATCGGGAATTTTTACAAGCTCTGCATCTCATGCGAGAAAATAGGAAACATATTCCCTTTTAAATTGTTTGCAAATTCCAACGCAAAGTGAAATTAAATGTTTTATATCTTTCTTTTAAAGCTACGCAAGCTTTATATATAAAATTATGAAAAATCTTTCTGAAATTATTTTAGATTTTAACTTATATTATTGATAAAATGTAAATTGATGTCTGCAAATATAAATAAAAAATTTGCTTTGTAATTGTACAAATATTTCATATTTTGTTATCTATTCCTTAATTTTACAGTAAAATTTGTAGGATTAAGGATTAACTGAGTTATCGTAGATGACGCATTTAGCCTGCCGGAGGAAAACTTTTCGGGCAGTGTAAGTATTGGTTTTCTTTGCGTCGTGCACCTGCCGTGCATACCTGGAAGAGACGAAGAAACTCTAGCCTTTGAATTGAACGCGGTCCCTTTCTCTCTTGACCATAAGCTTCTTTACTTTCGTCTTTTCTACGAATTCCAAACTTGATGGGCCACTTTTTTTATGATACGTTATACGTCGATTTTACCTTGGTTCAATGCAGATTTATTTAAGCATTAACACTTCCGCTTGGGTCATTTAATATATATATATAAGCGAGCTCGGCATTCGATCGGTTTCAGTTACGTTAGTACCGTATTTTTACAACGTTTGTGCTTCGACTATATTCTTACTGCATAAAGATCTTATTTCGAGATCTTTATTTCAATCGAAGAAGGGAAGGTTAGTGTGAAAGAATTGTTTTCAATAGAACATTCAAAGAAATTTTGATGATTATGGAGAAAGTTGTTAGAAAAGATTTGAAAATAACAGTACTATTAATTTCTCTAAACATGTGATGAATAAAGATCAATTAAATGAATATATAACTAAAACATGTTACACAATTATTAATTTTACTATTTTTGATATTGTAAGTTGACTGTAAGATAATTATTCACATTAATGATCACATCAGTGATTCGGATCACGTTGAAATAAATGGTATAATCATTTTAGTTTTTAAAATAATTCCAAAAATGCTTTTACTACTACTCTACTACGATTCCATCATGCAAGTACAAAAGAATATTTTGCAAGTTAATATACTGTTTCATTTATTTTTTTTATTCACTTATTTACTTATATCTTCATTTATAGAATATACAGCAGCCATTATTTTGAAAAATGTATCTATTCTTTTGCTTTATAATGCCCAAAAATTCTTCAGTTTGAATCAGACAGTTTTTATGAAAAAATGTGTTCAAGAATTTTGTAAGTTATTTTTTCCAATTTAAAATTAAGTGGGCTTTACGAGGGTGTAGGAAATTTTGAAAGTATAAAATAAAAGCGTGGGTGTGCTATTGATGGTAGTTTAAATATTCATCCATCGGTTTAGAATAATTTATTTTCCTGTGAAGAATCTATAGAAATATACTGAAACAAGTTAAAATTACATATATTTTAAAGTATAAAGGACGATGAACCATTGTCGTTAGCATATTATTTTGCTTACTGTAGATGTGTCTCATTTCTTCTTATTCTTGTCGAGTAGTTACTGTGTATGGCGCTAAACTGCAATAAAGAAAGATCATTATCTGATCAAAGACAATCTATTAGTAAGTTTGAAAAATTGTAAAAGTTTACATGAACATGTCGAAAATATGATAATTATTTCAGTTGCATTTCCTTTTATTCTTGAAATAAAAAAATTAATCTTAATATAACTTTAATTTATTTATTGTAAACTTAATTAACCTCAGACTGACTTTATTTCGGATCGTTTATAAAATTTGTAAATTATATTTCTGCGGTATTAATTATTGAAGTTTTATTTCGTTCTACTGCACTAAAGAATATAAAAGTGTAAATTTTCATTGATGTGTGATTCATCCTGTACTTATATTGTCGCCTGACCCTCATCCTCTATGATCGTGGGGATTTCAGAAAAGGAAGGGATAGGGGAAGCAATGGTGGCCAAACCGTTTCAGCCGATTCAAATTTCAAACCGTTTGCCTCAAGGTGTGTCTTGCTGAATTTGAACTCCGAGCTGTTGGAGACTCATCCTCCTTGCTTTGGCTCGAGCAGGCTCGAATTTCAACCACCCAGGTGGCTCAAAGAGTGTATTTTATCATTTCGAGCTCAGCTTGGATTGAAATGTACTCAAGTGGCTTGACTATAGTCATTATCTACATGTAGCATATTTTGTTTGTTTAGTTTCATACAACCTATGTGATAAGATACGCTTACTGCCATAGTCAGAACTGAATGATATTTAGGAAAAAAATATTTCGAATATTATTAAAAATGCTAGACGTCATAAAATTTAAGTAAAATAATGTGTAAAATTACAATTTTAATAATTCCTAATGTTGTATGGTAATCAAATAACTATAATATTTGACAACATAAATTTACTTTTAGTTTATATATAATAATACCACTATTTGCGAATGACTATGTAATTGTGGTGTTCGAAATTCTTATCGTTTGTACGTTATGAGCATGGAACTTATTTAACAAAACTATATACTTAGATATATTTGAAATTGAAACTATTATAAAACAATTTTGAATATTCTTCGAATAAAACATTATATTTAAATGTTATTTTAAAAACTTTTCAATAAATAAAACATTTCATTTTCGAAAATTATACATACAGTTAAAATCAAATAAATTACTTATCATTTACTGTTTAAAATGATATTATACCTACTGTTGATTAACGTTTAAGAAATTTATGTTAGTATAGTTTTAAAATAGCAATCATTTTATGAAGATTTCCACGAAATCTCTAAGGAGAACTGTAACTGAAGAACTAAAATAATTAGTCTCGAAAGGTATTAAAATGATTATGGATTTTTAAGCAAAATATATTTTAATATTCAAGTAAAAAGCTTTTTAGTTTAATTGTGTTTTACAATTTCAAGGTTGATATAAATGTATAAGAATCTTCAGTTTAATAATAAAATTGAACATTATTCAACTTTTAAAATTTTTCAATTTTTGTAACATACGTGGGTAAATGTAATTTGAAGTGTCTGTAGTGCCATCTACAGGAAAAGACTTAAGCTACAAGCACAAATTGTTGGTATCATATTCTTTTAACTGGATGGCGCCACCATATTGTTAGACGCTTGTTTTTATCAACTTAAATAATATTATAATAATAAATATTAAATAATACAATTATATATGAATTATTACTAATATAAAATATTGTACTTACAGTGTACCGACAGAATGTTAAATTTTTTCTGTTTTTCCTCTGAGAAATTGATATTGTTGAAATCAAATAGTTAACAGTATTAAATGTTATCTAATCATTTAAAACATTTTTTGAAAATATTGTACGTTCTATTAAGATTGAGATCTTAGAAATTTGTATGATTTGTATCTGTTCATTTATAGTGTTCTTAAATAATGGGACGAAAGTATACGTAGTCTTTAGTAATGAATACGTTTTTATTTTAGTAATACAAAAGGAAAGAATAAGCGATATTTATTAAAATAAATTTTCATCAATGTAATCAATGTAATTGATACATTTTCATCAATGTAAATTTGACATGATACAGATGATGAACTTCTGTATAAAAATTATTGACTTTAATTTTAAACTCAAGGTTTGTAATAACAAATTTGTAGCACTGAATTTAGTATAAAATTTAATATTTAATTTATGTAACTACCGCTTCAATCTAGATATATTTAAATCAGAAATAATAAAGTTCTAATAGTAATTAATTCAATGATTTGTAATATCTTTTGTTTCAGTTAATACTTTAATAAGTACATTTTCAAATGGAAAAAACGTATTTGTTTATTAGATTTTTGTTTTTTTTGCTGTGCTTTATGTACAATTATTACTGTATTTCGTTTGTGCAATTACCTGTACTATAATAATGACAAAGGAGAAAAAAGTGTCAAAGACCCCAAGAAATATTAACGCCTTTGTATTCGCTAGCATGCACGGGGCGTCAGCGTGTAACAATAGGAACAAGTAGAAAGTTTGGTTTTCTTAACTGGTGTCTATTATAGGACTTTAGAATGCTAGAAACGAAACCAGAATGTCGTCAACCACTTTCGATCTTTTTCGAAGTGTGTACGTATTTATAGCTTTAAAAATTGGTCAAACGTCGTGTCATGCATTTAATACTGTCTAGTCGTAGTTGATGCATTTTCAAACTAAATCATGTATAAAAAAGTATCCATAATATAAAACATACTTCTAATGTAAAAAACATTTCATACTAAAACTATGTAGTAATATATTACAGTTTTACAAAAAGATAAATGGAGTTAAAATTATTTGAACACCGTTTATTTAGATACCATTTAAAGTAACACTTAATTTTCTGAATAACATTGTCACATTGTTAAAAAAATAATAGGATTTACAATATATAATATTATATATATATATATGAATAGCTTGTACCACTTTGGAATACTTGTTGCTTTAGAAACAGTTCTTACGACGGTTATCATTCAATTGCTAATTTCCGATTTTTATGAAACTTTGCATGTAAGCGGTGTATCGGTAAATAACTATATATTTTTTCAATAGATTGACAATCGCATTTAAGGGTTGATGACTTTTATCGTTCCTTAAATTAAAAATTGAAAATATATTTCGCTGAATACTTTGAAAATTATGATAGATTTTTTGTAAAGAATACTATAGTGAATTATGGTGATTGAGAAAATTGTTGAAAGTAATTTGAAAAATAAAATATTTAGGAAGGACAACGCAACACTCGAATAGTTTGTCTTGCTAGTGCCGAATAGGAATGAAGCAAGACATTTTTAACAGACAAGAATTTCGCACCTACCGAAACATCACAGAGAATTTCAAACAATACAGTGACTTTTTCTCTCGAAATTATTTAACAGTGTTAAACATGACCTCGCAGTTCGCGAGAAAACCTAGTGTCTGAAGAAGACACAAACGTGATATACCTTTCCGTATTGTTACCCTATTTTTTACGTATCATAACAAAGAAAATTATGTTATTATATCAATACATATTTCTCGATTTATCTTCTAACACTATACTTTCTAAACCTATATTAAGTCACAAAACATCGTTACTTGCCTAAGAAAATATTTCTATCAAATTACAATGAGTATAAACAACCACATGAAGTTTTTGAAAAAAGGTTTTAATAGCTAACGTTTGACTGGTTATACGAGATAAAGGATGGAAACTTCTGAAAATTCTGACGCGTGGAAAATCATTGAACATCAGTTTCGGATTATCCAAAATATCTTTCTCCGTCACGGTGTGTATATTCGATGTGTTAAAATTCGTGTCGCATGCACGGAGGACGTAGGGGTAATTAAGTGGAGAAGCGAGGCTCTCGAGGTTGTGCAAAAGACGCGGAGGTCACGGCTCGTGACCCATTTTGTCCATCGACAACTGCTTCCTACTTGAAGAACACCTTGTTCTTCCCTCGTTGAACATAGCAAACGTAGGCAAGGCTCGGCCGGCTAAAATATTACCTTAAAAAATCGTGTCGAGCACTAATCGGAGATCTCTCGAGGAGACTGCCATTGAGAATCACGCGTGTGTGATCTTGAAAGAACATTTGGAACTGATCGCTCGAATTGCAATGTCCTATGTATGTACTACTGCATCGTAACGGCAATTTCATTTGGACAACTGACTTGAACGTTTCTCATCGACAGAAGTAAATACTTTTGACCTATAAAGGTCAAAGTCGTAGGTGTATTATATTCCCACTGAAACACGACGATTCCCAAAGTGTCGCTTTTTTCAATTTTTCATTGAGGATTGTGGTTGTCTAAAAATTCGATGAAAAGTAGTCTTCTAGGTAATATAAATATTCGAGTAATTTAATTAGATATTTTATGTATATAGTATGGGTTGTAAAAACGGAAAAAATAAGCTAAAAGTGTAAAATAAAGTTTTTTATAACTCACGAACTTTGTGCTTTCGGATCAATAGAACTTAAATTTTAGCCAATTGGGTATGCCATCGAATGGAACGCGACTAAACAACTTGGTAATCTTTTTTTGGCGGGAGAATGTTGGGGAAAAATCTATTCTGGGAAAATTCAAGCAATAATTATGCAATTATAGTTCTGTGTAATTTAACGAGTGTATGTATGAAATTCTTCCGAGATGTTTATCTATATAAGACACTTCTCTGAGTAGTACACTTGAATTGTCCAGACTTCGTAACCTTTAATTAGAAGAACAATTAAACAAAAAAATTTTCTTTGCGTCACAAACTCATTACATTCATTTGTGTATAATTGCACATGTTGTTGGAAATGCATCTTAATTGACATACCTGATGTACTACTATTACTTTGGTATGACAAGAACGTAAGGACAAGATCACACTTTAGTAATGTTCCCTTTGTTGCAAGTGATGCAACGAATTTGCATTATTTTTAGATAATTATTTCCGATATTAATTGAAAAGATTATAATTACGTTTTCAACTTACTGTACATATTTTTAAAGAATATTTTGAAAGTATTTATTGAATTTAAGTTTAATACCCTTTTTCACCCAACTTCACTCTTCTTAATATATTATTTTAATTAAGTTCATTTAACAAAGATAGACCGTCTACATTCTTTTAAAATTATGAAAACACCCCAAAAATATCTATCAATAGAAAATTTAGAATATTACCATTATAAACAAGTACTATAAATAATAAACTTATGTTTTTCGGAATGAAAATTTTATTGAATTTAAAATTCAAGATCATTTCAGTCCAGTATTATAATTCAAGATCAATTCAATCTGGTATTATTCTCGTATTTTGCAAACAATCAACGTTTCTATCCAGAAACGTCTAAATATAAAATAACATTTTCCGATTGCACGGTTCGGAAAACAAACATTTATGTTCAGTTAAATTTAAAATGTTTGCTTTTAATTTTGAATAAAATTATTTGAAACGTGTTCGTTTATGTTTTCAGAATTCAAAACTTTATAATGAAATTCGTCCTGGCAGTATGTTGCATTTCTCTGATGGTAGTTTTTACCATTGCTGGCGTGCCACTACCACAACCAGGCGATGATCAGAGTAACCTGTCAAAGAATTGTCAAATTCCGAAGTGTCCAAAAGTGAAGAGTTTAGAAGATCAAGAAAGAGTTTTCACTTTACCTTACCCTTTAGATTGTTTACAATATGTCGAGTGTAGAGGATCCGATGCTCGTGTCTTGCCTTGCCCACCTGATGAAGTCTTCGATAAGGTAATATATTCTAAAGTGACTTAACTACTTGTATTCATTATAAAATGTATGATTACATATAATAGGAAGGCACATCCAAAGACAAATTAAATGGAATTTCAATTGCTTTGTTTGATCATAATGACATTGCATTATCATTATTATTATTATTATTTTTACTGACTTCTATATATGTAAATATTATTATTTGTGCAATATTTACTATCAATATGCTAATTTTCTATTATTAATTTATGAACAAGATTTTTCAGTAATTAAAGCCATTACAATTGTAAACCAATTCATTTTACTAATACAGTAAATACGATGCTTATTTCACAGAAACTAATAATTTCTTTTGAGACTGTTTTTGTAGGTTCTTTTTGATCAAACATGATTTTTACAACAAACGAATTACGTGTAGCTGATATACCGTCAGAGATGAATTTCTTACACTTTTAATTTAATAATTAAGAAAGTAATGTATACAATTGCCATTGACAATTAAGGTATAGATATAGTGAGAATTACTGAATATTTTGTTCTTAGGTTTTTATTTAGAATCATGTTGGCAGGTGGGAGAAACTTAAGGCTCGTATCGATTGCACACCTACGCGTAGAAAAGTTTTCTGTGAGAATGGGGGCTGGTTCATTCATCTTTGTCGATGTTCCGTAACATGACATATTAGTTTTCCTCTCATTACAGGAAACAACATCAAAAACACCAGTCATACATAAATTGAAGTATAATTGTAATAAATATTCTAGCATTTCATAAATTCTTAAGTTAACAAATCAATAATTCTGGAAGTGGCTATTAGTTAAAATAAATGAATATATTACATGCAGCTAAAATGAATCTTGGTTAGAATAATTTTGTATAAATTTTTATGCAAATATTTATTATATATAGTTGGAAAAAGATATGAAACACATCAATATACAAATAAACGATTGATTTTTTAACCATTATTTAAATAAACAAAGTTTAATATTAGAAAAGTAATTGTTTCGTCATTTATAAGAAAATTTTTCTGTTCAAATGCTTATGTATTTCTATTAGTTAAAATATAGGAAACTTTATGGTAATCAAATATACAATCTTATTCAAAATATTGATTTTACTCTAATTTAAAATGAATATACTTTAAGTAATATAAATAGAGGCATTACTGCCTGCAAAAGTATTCTGTCTTTGTAATTTGAATCGTGACGTTAGATAATTGGGACAATTAAAGGAAAATAATATGTAGATTATTTTTATGTCACATTTACATTTCAGTTATAGCGGTAATACACGGAATCATGGAGTTTATCGAACGTTCCGCGAAACTAATTACCCTCTTATAAAATTTCATATCAGAAAATGAGAGTACGTGCCAGAATATGTATGTACATTTAAAAATTGAATCGACGTTAGTTTCTGTAGAAAATATAAATTGAATTTCATTTAGAATTATTTTATAAATAAAAAGCGTTAACACATTACTTCACATTTTTTTTCATTTCATTTAATACTTATTTTTATCATTATATTTTTATAAATGTCTCATAAATAATTTGTCATATTTTTATTAAAAGATAATGTAATAAAATCTATTAAATCATTTAACATAATCTAACAAATAATTTAATACGAGCTAATAAAAACATATAATATCATATTAATTATATAGTCATTATAGAGAAAGTCAAAAATCAACTGAAGAAAAATAATTAAACTCAGAAAATAATTCTAAGTTAAAATTCTAAAGAGTGTCTTTTAATACCTTCAGTGAAACTAATGTTGGACAACTATTCTTCGTTATTTTCGTTGTGTAAAATAAAGTTTTATTTAACAGTAAAACTACCGGACGGGCCAAATTGATCCACATCAGAATGTTTGTTTGGCAAGTATCTAAATTATAAAGTCATGTTTGCGAAAGATTTTCAATTAAAGTGTATTTGTACAGATACAAGAATGGGAGACCCTTCAAGTCTCAAGGAATGTATTGTTCTGATTTTTATAAAAAAAATCGGAGTTAGTCGCTCTAATTGCTTGGTAGTTTTAGTGTTAAATAACACAGAACTCGAGCGCAGACTTTCCTGTGAGTCACAACCCTCTCGCGATCTATGAGAACATGGTGCACGGCACGAGGCGCTCAGGAGTAACAATGAGGGCCATGAACCCGAACCACCCTTGATACCCGTGGAACCCAGTCCTATCGTATCCTGTTACGACGTTCCAGAGTGCACGTGCCTATTGTCGCCAGGTGCTTCACCTGACACGTGGCAATTTTCAATTCACCAGTCCGTACGACACAGAGTGCTTGACTTTTTGACGTGACGTTTAACAGGGTGGCTAATATCCCTTGATCTTACTTCACGGAATATATTATTTTGTCAGAATACTTTACTGCGAGTGCGTCTATTTTTTATCCCGGAAAGAAGTTCAGTAATTGGGCTGTTGTTCCTGAACAATTAAATATCTCAGACATGATGGAGTAAGAACTTTAATGAGATTTAATTAACTTTCTCCTTTGTACTTGATTGAAAGAGACTGCTAATAGAAGTTTCTCTTCGATGCCTGTCTTCGCAGATTAGTTTACAAATATTTTAATTTGCTTGAATAATCACAATGTGTTTATAATAGGCAAGTAGATAAAAAGGAATTACATAGGAATTTATTATTTACTTCTTTTCTGTAATATTATACTTTCAATCTTAATGTTCTCGAAAAGGGAGCTACAAGTGTTATACGTTTATTGTATATATAAGTGCTTTCAACTTACTTCTTCATATAAAAGCATCCCTTAGTATTATTAGTTACAGGACATGCTGTCTACCTATAGCTTTAAATAAATACGAATAAAATTTATAAGTTTATTTGTAAACATATTAATTCTTTATTTCGATGCTTGTTTCAGAACACTTTCACATGTGGGCCTCGCGATAAAGTGCGCTGCGTGCCCTGTTACGAAGAACCTCCTCAATGATGATTCTTCAATTTTTTAAATTAATAACATAAACCCACACAATATATTATATTTGTTAATAAACTAGTACTTTTGCCACGAAAGCTAAAATGATTTTTTTCCAATTTATGTATTCCTTGATCCTTAAAGAAACTGTATTTCGACATTTTACAATAACAAACCAACATTAAATTTTATAATAAAAATGTTCTGACCTCCTTGATAAATAGACGAGTTGTTATTAAAGCGGAAAACAAAGGAATTATCCGTTTTCATCGTTTGTGTCTCATTCTTTTTCATTTCCAACGGAACTGTTTACTTTGTACTACGTCCCACGTGACCAGTCGCTTTTGATAAAATCGAGTTGTCGATGACGAGGATATACGAAGGCTAGATATAAAAGCGAAGGTACAGTTTCTGGATTCGAAAGAGTGGGTCAAGTGATATCGACTATGCAGGAGCAGAAGAGCTATAGGACGGTTTGGTTTCCCGATTCACCCACCGGGTATAATTTTGTCTCTCTTCATCCTGCAACGACATTGTTCCTGAAGATTTCCATACGACACATCTAATCTTCATTGTCGCCGACGTACATTGTGCACAGGAATGAATTTATGTAATTTAGTCTGATAAGATATTACTTATTCATTTCCGCAAAAAGATGTTCAATTCTTTGCATATTTTCACTTGTATATATTGTGTCCATTAATTTGTTGATTGCTAAATTAATCAGTAGTGATCAGTCTTATTACATTTTTTAACGCTAGAACTATTTAGCAGTGTCATTAATTAATACTGTTCCCTTATACAATTTGTAAGAGTATAACTATTGAGATTTTAATTAATTGTTATCATAGCATCCTATTAACGTTGCCAATAATTGCAGAAAAGAAATCTAAAGTGCATAAAGTGCAATTTGAACATAATAATTTGATAACTTTAATATTAAAAAAAATACATGTTCATGAATGTTATACAAGAAAAATTTTTAGTATCGCAGTTAGTCGGATATGTACCAGTGAAATGTGAAAAGTACACTATTCAATAATTTATCAATTTCCCCGATGATGCGTAAACAAATGAATGGCACTTATGTTAAACTTGATATTGCTTATTTGAAACTTAAATATTATATAAATATTATACGAGGAATTATGTGAGACTTGATAATATTTAACGAAAACAAATGGCACTTATATTGAGCAAGATAAGATGGATTAAGTATGTTTGCACAGAATTTTTGTTGACCTACGGTAGATGCAATAGCGACGTCATTCGTTACTCAACCGTTAATAGGTCTTTCGTTTATTCAATCCGTTTTCATTTCTAACGTAAATCTTTCTGACGTTTCAGCTCAAATGTTCCAACAAATCACGCATACCAGAGAACAAGTCGTTAAAATTGTGTAAACCATGGATTACGTATAATGTAAATACACGAATTAATCAATTAACATAGATTTCTCAAGGATGAACACTCCCGAAGACGCAACTCGAGGGGAATTAAATTAATCTAGTGAACACTTTACGATGATACGCATTGATATTACATAGTCTATACTGAAACGAACATTATGATTTAATAAAATGTAAGAGTCATTTGTTAAATGTATATGAAAATGAAGAATGACTTCGAATTAATGTTGAATTTGAAAGTCGAGTAAATTGCTCATCCTCATTTGGTTGACAGACTAAATCAAACAAACGAAATGTGAAAGTCGACTTTTATTTTATATTGTCTGCCTAATTACAGAAATAATTGTCTTGTCCAATGATTTATTTTTTAACTATGCTCGATATAATTATTTTATCGTTAATAATTTTTTAGGAAAAGGAAAAATTTTGATGCTTATTCTATGGTTACGTTTACTCCAACGGTTAACGATTGATAATAGAAAAGTAATATTTAATATATATTTAAACAAATAAAAAACATTTAGATTTCTCAAATTCATCTTAAAATTTTCGTCACCAGTCTGACACGATAGTGTAGGTCAAGGAGTTAAGTTTCCGTCATTAAAGAACAATTGGAGCTCGGTTCATCTATATTCAATCGTTCATTAACAGTAAAACTACCGAGCATTTATTAGGGTTGATAATGTAATCCTTATAAATGGTAACAATGCATTTATCTCGATATTTTTAGATGTTCGTTGTATACTTTTAAAATATTAATGATTGTAAAATAAGGAAACTAAAACTCATCATTTTGACAGGTACAGTAGGTTTAGTGTTAAAACCAGATCTTGATAAACACGAAAATGAACAAGATGAAGAATTTCTATGCATTAGTCACGTTCTTTGGGCATTGCTTATATTATTCTTCACTCTATTAAAGTGTGTGCACGTGGCACGTACACATCAATCGCAAGTTGTGAATATTACATATAGTACATAGGGAGTCCGACAGTTATACACAGAACATTCAAAAAATATGAAGAGTTTATTTTTGAAACATTGACAGTTAAAAATTGAAGGTTCGATTTTCTAAATAAGCTGTTTAAATTCCAGTTAAGCGACCTCTTGTTTACATAGATACACAGTCAAGGAACAAAGCTATGCCCCTTACGTGGGCCTTCTTCTTGTACATCCCACTATAATATTTCCATAGTTTTAAACTATACGAGCAATCGAATTGCCTTTTTCTCTAATTTTTTTAAAGAACCGCTAAAAGTGCATTTACTGAGATTTCGACTAATTTTTAATTCTGTTTGCATATTACGAAAACAATTTCTTATCATTTGTTATCAGTGTCATTTTGACCCGACTGGTAATTCTAGGTTTGAAAATATTTTCATTTCTTTAATTATGCACACTTCTTCTCAATAATTTTTCGTAAAATGCATATTATATAGAACTAAAAAATTTGTTCAATATTACAAAAATTGGTTTAATAGGTATTCGTTATTTGTTAACAATTCAAATTAGTCACAAAAGAATTTTCGATTTGCATATGTATGGAGAATACTTATGTTTTAAATGGGTTTGTATTTTTGGGGCACCTTGTGTATAGAAGTATACAAGGTTTGAATTTATAGCAAAGATACGTAGCCAATAAAGAATAAAAATTTGTTATTTTTAGTAAAATGTTTTTAGTACGAATGTTATGTATTGTACTTAATGGGAGGACTAATGTGTTCCTCTATGGTTGACTGTTTCCACTTCCCATAACCACAAATCTGAACTAAAAAAATATATGGAAAAACATATGTATAGTAAACTCAAAATATTATTTCATATTTACCATTTATTTCCACGAGTAAAATAATTTCCTGTCACCTATTTTAAACTCGCATGTAAAATATTATTATTTATAACAAGTGAATAATCTATCACTGATAAAAGTTCAATGGAAAATATTTATGTAATTTTTTTTCAAAAGTGTCCATAAGTACTAAAAATATTTATTTACTAATAAAGCATATATAAATAGTAAATTTTATGTTTGAAATGCTACAATGATACATTTTTCTTCTCTCTTTTAGTCGAACAGATACACATTGATCGTTTCGTGAAGCATGGATTTCTTTGAGAAATGTCGTGAGCTTGAGTTCATTCAAGATGCTGACTATCTAAAGGAACAGCCCTGGAAAAATTCTTTCCAATGTCATGTGACAATGAACTGACACGTTTGACGTATAGGATACTATTGAGTCTTATAGAAGTCTTATAGTCTCCACGTAGTTGTTTGTAAAAGTCGACTTGTAGAAGTCAAAAGTATCATTAATTATTTTCTTCTCTGTGACAAATTTTATTTTCATTTAAATTTGTTATGTGTTTTCTTTTTACCTCCCTTATATAGAGCTTATTAATGGTTTTAAATGTTTATACATAAATAATTTTAAATATATTTTTTGTAGGTTCAAGATTCAAGGTTTTTGAAATGAGAAGTCATTTTTCTAGTTGAATTATTTTCTTTTTCTTTTATCATAGGCATCATAGACATAACTTAATAGTTAAACAAATTTATTTTGTAAAATCAAATTTCTTTAAGGAATTCAATTTATTTAAGAAATTACAAGAGTTCGTATAATAATACGTGTTTTAATTAATCTCCAACAAATCCTTTGTTACGGAATACGGCTTCTTTATGAAAAAATTACCATTCCTGTTGGAACTCACGAGTCTACATGCTTTCATTGACCCGAATAATATTAAGTGGTTCTATAATACGTAATTTGATGGTACTCGTGGTCTGTCAAATTCGAACTTCTGATTTTCTAATTACTTCAATTAATTCTGTAATTCATTTAATTAATCACAGGTTCATAATTTTTTATAGTCAATATAATGTTAGAGTTAAGCTCAATACACTGTTTTATGTTATTTTCGTGTTAAAGCCACTTCGTGGTGTAATGATTTTGTATGTAATCTAAAATAACGTAACTCTTTCATAGAATTCATTAAAGTAAATACTCAAAATGATTATCGTAGGCTAGCAAAGCAAGCGTTTAAACATTCTTTTAAAGAGCTTCCAACACGTTCGTAGAACTCAAATATCATTCCGTCTTGGTAATAATCCTTTTAAGTTAAATTAATATATAACGAGAACTACATTTTTAATTATAAAATTAGCTATAGCTCAAAAAGGTGGTTATAAAACAAGTATTTACCATAGAGCTTCTCATTACTTTCACGTCTGAAAACCTTAAAATTTCAACAAAATTTATTCATGAAAGTAAAGCAACATTAGTGAATATAGCACGGTTAACTTCGAAAACGCTAAAAGTACTAACCATTAATTAAAATAAAATTCCTTTTTCATGAGAATGATATTTGTTTTCTTTCAAAATAGTGTACCACATAGTAGTAGCAAGGTTACAGATATTATTTTTCTTAACAAAGATACATCATCGGATTCATAACTTATACGTAACAATGAGTTTTATCTCACTACAAGATGTATGTATCGCTTAACACTAGAACTATCGAGCAGTTAATTTGGTTTTTATACATTTTCCTACAGAAACTCTAAAAGGATATCTATTGGAACTTCGATTGATACATAATCCAACTTACGAATTACTAAATCAATTTCTTTAGTAATTCATCATACAATCATGTTGTCTTTTCAATAATTATAAAAGAAGAATTCAAGAATCGGTCATTTCGACTCATCCAGTAGTTCTACTGTTCATCTCATACAACATCCATATTCCAAATAACCCATGTGCAAACTTCCTTATCAATCCAACCTGAATCTACATAAACCACGCTGCAATCGTCAGACACCAAACCTCCAATCAGAAGTCACAAATTCCCCGAATCGATCGAACGAACGAACAAACTATTTTAATTCAACCTTACGACCGGGACTGGTACTTTGCCCTTAATCTCCCCAGGACACCCAGCGTGCATCAAACCCGTTTTCATTTCTGCATAATAAGAACCCGATCGTTCCGCCATTTGAAACGTCCAGCCACCCCATCCATCGGCCATGATTAAACATCACGTTAAATACCCATTTCGGTTCCACTAATCCTCTTCTAAACTCTCGTTTGACCAACACGGTACCTGGACTGCACACCTTCGCTCACCTGGATTCCCGTTGATGCCCGGCGAAAGGGGGTAGCTCGCGCCGCCGGTGGCAGCCGAAGCGCAGGCCCGTAACCTTTCAGTCCACGCCTCCCTTCAACCTCATCGGGGGTTCAAAAGAACCCGGAACGCCGGGTGGAGAAGTGGTGGTGGGCGTGCGGAAGGAGACGCTCGCTTAGAACGTCGACCGTCGAAAGGAGACAGCGGTAAAGTCAGAGGGTAGGACATACCCCCGTGAGTGGCTATGACGTCACGAGGGTCGAATCAATATCAGAATCATCCCCCCGCCAGTCCTCCGCTGAAAGACATCGTTGGTTCAGTACGGGTTGGCCTTCAGGACCGTTAAGAACGTCAGAGCACGCCGTTCTTGACGAGGGCGACGACGACGAGGAGTACGAGAATCATCAGGGCTGTCTCGTTGCTCGTCACCCTCGATTCCGTTTTCATTTTCTTTTTCCCCTCCGTCTGCACCTGTCCGGCTGTCCATCTGTTTGTCTCTGTTTCTACCTTTGTTCGCCTTTGTTTTTCTGTAACGACAACATTTCCGATTCGTGTTTGGGTTGCCTGTAATGTAAAGTGAACGTAATCATCAAGTGGTCTCGAAGCATCAAGCGGAGTTCGTAGTCGGAGACCAGAGTTCCTCCGGAGAACGGTTGGGTTGAAGTTGGATCTTCCAGTATGCCCATACGAGAGTGAGTGGTAGCATGAAGATCGAGGATTGAGAACGTTCGACGGAATTGTGAGTAGCTTCATATGAAGCTGATTTTTCTCTTTCGGGTAATTGGCTGATTGACTCGAATTGGATTTTGTTCGGAACTGCTCGGGGAATGTCTTTTGGGAAGGTTTGTCCGTTGAACGATCTCTTTGGTGATTTTGAGTTTAACGAGACGTTTGTGGATTATTTAATTGGATGGATCTGTAGGTGATTATTCGAGTTGGATAATTTTTAGGGAATTCTTTGCGTTGGCGTCAGGTGTTTTTATAGTTTTGCGACCGTATAGTTTCTGTGACTTTAGAGCTTCTTTAGAAACTGTCCTGACGTGCACTTCGAATCGCATAGTCCCTTGAGAAGTTTGTTTCAAGTATTTGTTCGATTACGTGCATTGCAAGTTCAAGCGCGAATATTTATGATTGGCTAATCGAATAGCTGTTAAATAAACATTCATTCATAGAGTCCCCTTGCTAAGGAGTAGTTGAAACTTTTCTTTGCTAAAGCAGTATGAGGAGTTACGAATTTTTGATTTCCTGCGACACTGTTTAAAATATTTTTATGCGTTTGGTAATACGAAGTATACAATACAGTATATGTGTATTATAATGTGTGTATACATACGCATATGTACATATGAGATATATAAGTATATTAAATTTCTCTCTAATTATCAGAATATTCTGTTAATTGAGAAATACATATATACGTGAAATGAACAATATTTCACAAATCAGGGAAAAATGTTATTGATGCATATTAAAATTCTTTTTAGTTAAATCTAGATTTTGAAAGGATGACAAATTCTTAAATTAATGTTTATGTGTCTCGAATATGAAAAGAACTTCAAATTTTATGTGATATTCATAACATCACTTACAGAAAACTTATCAAGTAAGAAGTAATAAATAATAAAAAATGAAATGTTCAATAAATTTGCTACTTCTTTTTTTATTCAAACCAATAAATTTCATACTAATCTGCCAGAATTGTTTGTTAAAAAATACATATGATTCAAAGTTATCTTTCATTCTTACTAAACATTAATAAATTCAGTAAATCAGATATGAACCACCCTGAACCAACTATAATTTAGATATAAAGTTTACATGAACCAAATATGAATCGAGTATAAAACAAAAATGTACAAAAACAGAAATTGAACACAGCAAAGTACATCCCTTGATGTAGGGGACACGTACATCCCTTAATTAGGCAAAAAATATGTCAATGTAGAAAAACATAGCAAAATTTCACCGAAATTGACTTACTTTACTTTTTGTCCTACGATTTATTTCTCAACTATGATCGATGCGCTTACTTTGTCATTAATAATTTATTGAGAAAAAGAGATAATATCTAGAATATTCTATATTCATGTCTGCTCTAATATATAACAATTAACAGCAGAAGAATAATATTTAATTTAAATTTAAAAGAAATGAGTATTATTTATGCTTATTATATTCTGTTTAAAATCTCCACCACAAGTTTGACATGTTATTATAAGACGAGGGGTTAATTTATATCCAATATGTTTTGAATGAACACCTTATGTGTCACGTTGGTCATTCGTAGCGCACGCCTGTAATCAAATTTCAATGGCGCTCTGGCAGTGATCAATGAAGCAACCAATTTATTCAAGGAAAGTTTACTATACTGTGGGAAACTATAGAAAGGTAATTAGAGGGTAAATGTTCCTCTTTTGACTCTGTTCAGATTAAAACTTGAATTCACTTGTTAATTGCGTAAGCTATATATCTCTCTGTATATAAAGACATGCTCCTCAACATAAAACACAATGTATTATACAGAAAAAATATATATAACAGTAATACTTATATATAATATATGTTTAGGTATGTTTTTAAGAAGTACAAGTAAGACGAACAATAATTTTGAATTTAGTTAAGATGAAGTACAATCTCATTTAAAAAGATACATAAAATTATATGAACTACATATGTATTGTTTTATAAGAAGAGGAAGAAATATTTAATATATACCGTTTTGTTCCTTACTAGTAAAGTAGTCATACTTTTTAATTCGTAATATAGTTAATAAATAACATGAATTCGAATTTGTTATTTTCCTTCAGTTTTACTTTATTTTTATACTTTTTAATCATTGTAATAGATTTTTATTATTTTATGATTTAAATCATTTCTAGAAGTTTGTTTGAGGTGTAGAACAGATGAATCTTTTAAATTATTATCGATTATTTGAACTAAATATTTTGTTAGCCTAAAACTGAAATTTTTATAAATACTGTTTCGTAATTTTTTATTTCTCTCCTGCGACATAAATATTTGAATTCATTAAATATGTAATTTTAGTAAACGAATCGAGTTATATCTCTATTGTATATAAATTTTACACGATTTAACGAATTCTATCATTCTATGACTCTGTAACTCTTTTCGCACGTGCATCTGTACACTTGTGCAACTGCAGGTTTTCTTTAAATGACATTATACCATTCTTTTTAAATAGATTGATTTCTTCATTATTCAGTCTATAAACGGTTTATGGTAAGATCATTAAAACCTATACTTTATAAACTATTTTATATTATTAAATGCCATATAGATTGAAACAATGACAACTTTACCTTAAGGAATTAAAAAGGTACAGCAGATAATATACAAGACGTATGTCATGTAAGATTATACATTCTATTTTACTTTTAGTTGCAGCGATATTAATTTGGCTTTAATTCCTTTAAAAATAATCTTCGATCAAAAACCAGTTTAGATAAAAAGAACTTCAGTTATGGAACTTATTGTCGAGTAATTGTAGAATTATTTACTCATCATTAATACAAATACATAAAACAATTTGTGTCATTAAGCAATATTTTAAATTCTAAAATTTTTTTTAATATGCTTATACTAAATACAAGTCATTAAAAATGTAAATATTATGAACATTTTAATGAGATATTTCTTCATTTATAAAATTTTTCTGTTGAATTTAGTATACAGTGCACACAATTATAGTTTAATAATAACTATCCTTTGTTAATTTTTGTTAAACTTGTGTCAAAGATCTTTTGATTAATTTTCAGAGTTAATGATGGAAATAAAATATAAAGGCGTGACATCAGAAAGAATAAATAAATTTAACGTTGAGATATTGGATAAAATTACTGATTATAATAGCAGTTACTTCGTATCATCTGTGTTGATGCGGGGTGTAAATACGATACTGGAATTATCGAAAAATTGTTAGGCACAGTTTAGTTCATTATCGAGGACATACTGAGCTGTCTGCATTCTTTCGAACAAGCAGTATAATTTTAGAAGTGTCGAAGTTACTTTTATCCATTTTTTATGAGTAACATAATTTTTCTTTTGATTTGTACTAACCCCATAAAAATGATAAAATCCGTCATTTTCGACATGAATAAACATTTTCACATTAGATATTATTACAGTTTTATTATTAATCGGAGTGCATTGCTTGAATAAAAACACATTTTATATTTAAATTATAATAGTTTTAATTTCATTTTCAAGAAAATTTTCTAGCAAGTTTTATAGTAGGCTGACAGGAATCGGTTTCAATTATATTTTAAATTGTTACTTTTTGTTTTTTTTCTTGTTATATTCGACTCTACAATAACCATTTAACTGAAAATTGCGTTAATGTTCGAGATTTTAGTCACAGAATAATTAAGTACGAACTCGTAAAGAAAAGTAATGTAACTGCGTGTAATGTGTTTCGAAAGTATGTACTGAACAATTCTTAATATTACTTAACAAAAAATAGAAAATAGAAAATATTCAATTTTATATTAAATATACAACAGAGAAAAAGATATATAAGATGTTTTGTCCTTCAACTGGTAAATAGGTTTAGAGAATAAAAATATATTTAGAAATTGGTTAAAACTATCGAAAAATGCATTCTCCTTTGAGGCCGTGTTTTTGAAAGAATCAAGCATGAATATTTGTCAGATACACGTGTATTTACATGGTTGATTCCTGACTAAATATAGGACCACGATCGATACAGGTTATTGTATACTTTAAAATAAGTAAAAAAAAGACAATATTTTCTATTTGAAATCTTGTATTTTGAACAGCAGGGTCTGAACATATTCCGTTAGTAATCAGTAAAATCAGTGAAATGTTGCATGAGTACTCAACAAATTTTATGAACATTCATATTTTTACCGTCACAGAAAATGTTATGGAAGCTAGAATTTTATTTCATGTATTAATAATTTCAGAACATAAAAGGAATAGTATAAATTGACATTTAATTAAGGTTTCGATTTTATTGTTTTTGATCTTAATGAGCTGTAAATGTGTGAATGACCTTAGTTGATTTAATACCAGTATTTCGTATCTGTGAAATGAAACGTGATACAGAAATTGTTCCTCATTTCTAATTGCTACCTAATATATTACCCTTCTGTAACCTGTCATTAAATATCGCTGAGTATAAGGCAATTTGTGGCAGTGATGCACATAAATGAAAGTTTGCTAACAGGTCCACGACGGAACACTCTTTTTCTTTTTCACTCTTCTCACTCTTTCCGCGACCTTTCACATTTCCTTTCTAGCGGTTATGAACATTATAACTACGCTTTCTACATGAATATTCAGGTTTAAGGTCACTTAAAGAAGTTCCGAGTAATATAGACTACTAACTCATCTTTCCACTAGTTATGTTTAATTAGATGTATCTTGATATCTGGGAAATCATGGGAATTTCATTCAGTTTCCTTACTGAATGTAAAGGAAAAGATTTAGAAAGAAGTTATATGAATTATATTGTACAAAACTCCATTTTCAGATAAATCGAATTTAAACATTCATTCAACATTAATATGATATCATAAAATCATTATTAGGTATGTTTATTTATCTTAATTAATTTGTCATAAATTTATGACAATATAATTTTGTCAAGTTTACCGAATTACTATATATTCGGTCACATTATAGTCATATAATGAACATCCGAACATAGCATTATTTGTTAAAGGTTTTATACTAATTAAAAGCAACCTGTTTACTATATTTATGTAATTTTATAAAAACGATATTTCATTAAAAATTCAATCATTTTGTTGTCGTTTGCGTCACGACTTTTAGCGCACCCTATATTTCGACCCCTTGGAGATTTTAACGCCTGATACTATTGAAATCTCTAACGTTCAGCTAATTTCTAAGTTCAATGACAGGAGTGTTTAAGAAAATACATTTTAACATTTAAAATCAATATACCGGTGGATCTAATTGTTTGAAAACAATAATTTTGTAGAAATATAAAATGAAAGATTAAAAACAAATGAATAATTTCTCCACGCAAATTTTCAAGTAATGTAACGTGTTTATGATAAAATATTTGTCTAAGTAGAAACTCCAATTTTAGATTGATTCAACGCACATGTTTATTTATTTATTTATGGAAAAATAATTCTATTACTTTAACATCTAATAATATAGTACACTATCATTAGAGACCGTTACTAATGAATAGCATGCAGAAGGGTAATCAAAGTACAAGGCACGTTCAAAAGTCATTGTCTGTGAGAGAGGTGAAAGAATAAATATAACACGGTTGAATTTTCATTAAAAAAAAAGCATTTTCTTTTAAGAAAAAAAAGTTCTGTTTTTTGTTAAAAGAAGTAACAATTTATAATAATACAAATGAATTTCATTACAAAATTGTTTAAATAATAAAATTACTTCAAAAAATTGGTTTATAATAAAGTGCAATTAAAATTAGTTTCGTTATTATTTTGAAACAATCAAAGTTATTCATTCTTAATTGCTTGATAGGAGTAAGTATCAAATGTTATTATAGGAATACTAATTATAAAATAGTATAAAATTAGGATTACTTATCAATAAAAGAAATTAGTATACGACGAATTTTATTTCATACTGAAATGAACACGAATGCTCAAAGCACTATACCAAGATCGTACATAAATCCTTGTTACGTTTTATACATATTAGCTTTCAAGGTAAAAGCTTCTCACACGACTGTGTGCAAATACAGGAACTCTACTGTTCTATGAACACTAATTACCTGAAATTCAATGACACAGGCTATACATGTAGCATAGATATAGAACTACGTTACATTACTCTACACTGCGTCACAAGAAATCTATTAACTAAGTTAATTATATTCAAATAATTATACATTTATTTAAAATACCAATAGATAACACCTAAATTCTATAAAGCCTAACATCTAAATTCTAATACCAATAGATAAATTGTGAATTTGATGAATCGATAGTAGATACTTGATCCTCCAAAACACAATATACTAACAAGTGCAAGCTGTAAATATTAACACCAAAACTACCGGCCAGGTCAAATTGATTCATTTCAGAATTTTTATTTTGCAAGTATTTAAATTATGAGTGCGTTTATACGAAAGATTTTTAATTAAATTCGTGCATTTGCACAGATACAACATTAGGGGACATTTTCAATCTCAAGAAACGTATTATTCTAATTTATATACAAAATTAAAAATTAATCGCTCTAACGGCTCGGTAGCTTTAGTGTTAACGTGTTTAACTTTCGCAATTTAACGAGACCTTTGTCTTCTTTGAAAAACTCAATTCGTCAAAACTATTCCATAAAAATCTATATTTCTCCAAGAATCCGCAGTCTATTAATAAATAATACAACTGATACATACAGACGAATGATAAGAAGAAGTATATTTATATAAATATATTTCAATGAAAATAATTGCGTAAGTAATAACCAACATGGTTTTACCTGTTACAGGTGAGACAGAGACGACACTGATCAATAGCAATTGGTACGAAAGGTGCGGGCGATCGAAGGAGAAAATCAAGGAGGAAGGAAAGGGTAGAAGCAGACTCAGTGAGTTGGGTGAAAATCGATGGCCATCAGCGCCCATGGGCGGCCTCGCGTTTAGAACAAGGAATAGCCCCTCCCAGAAGACCTCGCTCCGGTGGGGCGACTGCTGTCCCCCAAATCCCAACCCTCCATCGTCGTCAGCTGTCTGGAAAGACCATCATCAGGACATGCTGCCGGTACCAGTGTGAGGCTGTCCCCCGCTACTGCGTGATTGTACCCCGCGGGGTCTTCAGAGGTAATAGAAGTTTCTTCTCAAAGGTCCACGCTGAAACATGCGACGACGCAGATATCGCAACAAGCGATGGGTTTGAGCTTTTTTTACTTTTTGTTTGAGTGCAACATGTGTCATGAAACTTTGGAAGACTCAAACCCATCACTTGTATCGATGGGTTTCAGCCTTTTTCACTTTTTGTTTGAGCGCAACATGTGTCATGAAACTTTGGGAGACTCAAATTCATCACTTGTATCGATACCTGCGACGCTGCGGGTTTCAACGTGTGTGAGAGCCTTAAGGCTAAGACTACACGACCATTTTACACGGTGTGTGATAGGACCAGGGATTGAAAAGGTTCCAAAAATAACTGTTTGAAACTGTTATATATCGGTTCTGACTGAAACAGTTATGAAGAACTGAAATAAGTCATAACTGTTATTCGGTATATTGATTCTAAGCTATATTGGTTTCGCTTCCGGTTCTTATATTGATATTATGTCCGGTATAAAACGGTTCTATAACTGTTATTTTTCCGTTCTTCATTTCGGCTCTTTATAACTGTTTTACGAACCGAAAAATTGTATAACAGTTATTTTTCGCATATAGTATATAGTTATGGAGACCCGGAATGAACTGATATAGCTCAGAATCGATTTACCGAATAACAGTTATTACTTATTTCAATTCTTCATAACTGTTTCAAGAATTGGCAATTTCACGCAGAATCTCATGTCACCGGTTCTTATTCCGTATTTAAGTGAAACAATCTCAACAATCTTCAATATACTCTACTTATACATGATGACTTCGAATGATACTTTACTTTTGCAGTATTCTATATTATCCTACGTTTCAAAAATTAAAATACCTAATGCAAGTGCAAACACGAGTTAACTCGTGACCAGTCAACAATGTGTTAACCCCTTCAGGGCCGAATTCTTTTTCAGAACAGATAAAGATAATTTTAAATAGAGGGATAGGTGTATTTCAATGTAAATGATTATACAAGAGTGTTCGAGAGCATATTACAGCTTATTCCATGCTTGCGAACTTACAACTAGATAGTTGAATTAAATTGTGTAGTCCTTATTTCAGCAGAAAAAACGTGACGTGTACCTAACACGTTGCATGTATAAACTTCGTGTAGTTTTGGCCTAACACGTTAATGTCGGGAGACTGTGAATGCAGTCTGGAATAAAATAAATGTTGAGAGCGAGAGACTATAGAGCGAGAGACTAACTCTGTTCAATGAGACGAGCTAGGAAACGTGAACAAACCATTTACGAGCTAAGCACGGCGGTTGGCAAGTACTGTTATCCCAGTTGCATCTACGTTAGCTATCATACACTTTTGTTCACTTTTATTGACTCGTCTCGTTGGATTGACTATAATGTGGTTATCAGAGGCGCCTGGGTTCAAGATGTGCAATACCTGGTTTTGATTGTTACACGTTCGTAAACACGGAAAACTGCTTCTGCATGCAATGTGTTAATAGTAAAATCGGCCGGGTTAAATTAATTCATTTCAGAATTTTTATTTTGCAAATATTTAAACTGTGAATGCGTTTTTACAAAAGATTTTCTATTAACTCTCTATGGGTCGAATTTTGTTTCGTGATTATAACAAAATTTATGCAGTATGAAATTAATAAATATCAACATAGGAACACAAATTAACAATGTATTCAATAGTTTTAATAATTTCATTAAAACGAATATATTTTGTAACTTTGAAGTTACAATGACGTTGAACGTAAACGCCTGTTTGTGCAAAAGTTTAAGTTGATTAATTATTTAATTGTCATTGGTCATTTTGCAATAAAAAATTAAATAAATCAATTTAACCCGGTATATTGATGTGTGACTTCAAAGTCACACGAGCCTATAGAGGGTTAAATTCGTGTATTGGCGCAGATACAAGACTAGGAGACTCTTTGAATCTCAAGAAACGCAGTTATCTAATTTTTATAAAAAATTAAAAATAACTCACTCTAATTGCTCGGTAGTTTTAGTGTTAATAAGACGTTTGCCGGTGTTGACTCCGATTAGTGTGAATTATTTATTTATATCATGACTTATTATTGGACGAATTAAATCATCCATAAGTAGTGTTATTTTTTATTTTACTTAAAAATGCGAGATGTAATATAGTAGATAGATAAATATATTGTGGAATATTGTAAATAGAAAAAGTGAATGGATCTCGAACAAAATGGATAAAATGCAAAAAATCTAATGAAATAAAAGATTCATTTGTCTTTTTAAAGAATTCAGGTTGTGACATTTTATTAAAATAAAGCATTTTTTAGGAAAAATCAATATAATTCTGCTAGCAAAGACAACAAACAGTGCGTTGTTGATTTCACACATCCTTGATGCACTGTCAAGAAATTCTTGTAAAATTCAAAGTAGTTTATTAGGTACAATAATCAAAGAACGGGGCTAATGAATAGAAAATACTCGCTCCCATTTCTTTAACATTGGTTGAGAACCAGTATTAACGAACAATTGAGTATTATAGAATGAAATTTTCATTGTGTGCTAATAGTAGAAACTTTGTTCAGAACTGAACGATCATAAAATAAAAATCGTTTCTTATATTGTACGTATGTATACTTTTAGATCAGTTCTTGTACAATTTTCGTGTTTTACAGGGCTCGCGTGATTTGTTTCTTACTTTAAGAACACGTACGTGTTTATAGAAGTTTACTAGTAGTGAGATGTTAATGGTAGAGTAGTGAATAGCGTCAGACCTTGTCTAACCTTATCTACTTTAACATCTGCGCAATTTTCTGCAGTTGAATAGCGTCGAACCTTAACTTTAGACTTGATTTACCTTAATTTCTATAATCGTATTCGAATTAAATCCGGGTTTGATTAGAAAAGTTAGAAACATTCTGTTTCATGTTTCTCATTTGAATATACTGGAATATTAAAAAATAAACATTAAAGAAAGATTAAAAAATAAAATAAAAATTCTTCAATTTTATTCGAATTTGTCTCATGTATATTAAACTTTGGTTTCTATAGATATATGTAGTTGTTACTGTCAATGATATATTTTTTAAATTCATCTACGCATTCCTATAATATGATATTGTATTTAATAAATTTGAAAAATGAATTCGCTCAAAACAAGATAATTAACAGACTGCGCATTTGCATGTGTTTGTGAAAATTAAAATGATTGGACAAAAACGATTGCAGTGTTTATTTCATTTACAATTTCATAAATTCTTTAATTGTTGAAGTACCTTTTCCTTTTGATTCTGATTCCAGTGAAAATTCTAAGAAAATAAATAAACATAAACAATTTAATGATTAGTAAAAATAATTCTATATCCTCATTACATAGTAGAAAATGTGTTTACAGTAAAAACATAGCAAAATAGATATTATAAAATTTGTTATAAATATTCTTCAGTGTTAAAGTTTTTTACAATTTTGTTTATGTTGCTCATTAATTTTAGTACGTCTAATAGAAAGACCTTGAATGCTTCGTTGTTTCACTTACGCATGTTATACTACTTTTTCTACGTTAGTATTCGCCCTTTATGCAACGGCTGGTACTCTATGGGGCGAAGAGGGGCTAATGGGATTAGAGGGTAAACTCACCGGGGCGATTTAAATGCTTCTGGGTAGGAACATAGAATTTACAGTTAATTGCACTCGTTAGGCGCGAGCCTCTCGACCGCATCGATAATTCAGTAGGAAAGAACAATGCAATTTAAAGATGACAATAGACATTCATTAATTACAGGTCTAATCAACGAATTCGATCCACGAAAACTGTTTCGTTTCACAACTTTTTAGATCATTGCTTCGTCTTTAACACGTCGAATGCCGCACGATTTCATGTAGCAAAATACAGAAAATAAAGAAAATATAATATCAAATAAATTTCATTGAATCATTTCATTATTATTGCACATTTATCTTGTCAAATGTCACCGCATTAGGCAGCATTATTTATAATATAAAAATGTCAAAGTGGCGGATTTCAGTTTTCTTATTTCCCAATTATTGGAAGCTTAAAAGTGTTCAATATTGGAATGGATTTTAAAGATAAATAGTTTTACTTGAATACTGTAAGAACTAGATGAAGATACCGACAAAAATCTTTATATTTATATCGATTGTGTGTTAATCGCATTAAATACTTGGTAATTCTAGTGTTAACATTAGAACTATGCAATAGACAAATAAATTTTTCTTCATTTTTTTATAGAAATTATAAAATTACATTTATTGAAATTTCGATTAGCTTATTAAGGACTTTAATTGGCATATTAGGAGATCAATTTATTTAGTAATTTCCAAGATAAACTTCCGTATTTTTAATTGTTGCAACAGAAAAAATTAAGAATGTGTCATTTTTACTTAATTGGTAGTTTCAGTGTTAATTTATATATTGATCATTTAAGAATTAAACTTCACAAATTCGAAACAGATTGAAAAATTAAGAAAATGTCGAGTGTTTTCGTTCGATGCTCATCAACACTTTGCCAAGCGAACACTCCTCAAAATTCCTACACAATCGAAACAGTTTCCTTAGTAAAGCAGAAACTAAACCGTCAAAATTTTCATAACAATTGATCTACTGTCTTTCTCATATCTAATGCACCCAACATCATTCATTTCGTTCTATACATCACGAAACAAATGAATATTTAAGTTTATGTAGAAAATAGTATAGTGAAAATATGTGGATCGTGAATAATATAGATGGGAATATATAAAGTTAACAAATAACTATCTCTACTAACAATAAGGCAAGAAGCTATATACTAACGACGTATAACTAAAGCAACACACAACTTACTGGCACGAGGGCCAAGGCAGAACTCTCTATGCACAGACTTTCTTTCCGACATTTGTATTAAAAAATCTTTCTTTCCCCCACAATTATTCTTCTCACTTGCACTCTCCAGATACTCTCAAAGACATTCCTTCAAAACTGAACGGGCACTCTTCTTAAAAATATCCTAGCTAAAATTTCTAGATACTACAATAGTGTCATTCGAATTCGATTGACGTGGTAGTCTAAGTATTAATAGAATTGTATTTGTTGCGTGCCTACAGGTATCCGAACTTCTCGAAATCAGATCGATCGCCAAACCTCCGTCAGTTCGAGTTCACTCAGGTGGACCCGTACTCACCGAAGATGATCAATTTCGCTGGTATTGTCTCAATCGCTCTGTTCTACGCGCTGATCCTAGCCGTAGGAATATGGGCGGCCAGGAAGAAAGAGTCTGGGAACGACTCCGAGGAGGAAGTCATGCTAGCGGGTCGCTCGATTGGTTTGTTCGTCGGAATATTCACAATGACGGCGACATGGGTCGGCGGTGGTTACATCAATGGTACCGCTGAAGCGATCTACACGAAAGGTCTTATTTGGTGTCAGGCCCCCTTCGGATATGCCCTGAGTCTCGTCTTCGGTGAGTTTTCGTGAAATATTCACACGTTTACCGCCACGACGATCACCCATGACCGGAGTGTACAAAATTACTTGAAAACAATTACAAGACGAAAACTGATATCGAATTAACCAGTTAACCCCTATGATTTATTTCTTAACTATGATTCATATAACTATTTTGTCGTTAATAATTTATTAAGAAAAGAACAAATTTTTGTGCTTATTTTATGTCTACTTCCACTCTAAATGGTAACGATTGATAACAGAAAATTAATATTTAATTTAGACTTTTAAAAATTAAATAACACCTAGACTTGTCAATTTCAGTTTAAAGTTTTCGTCACGAGTCTAATACAATATTGTAGGTTAAGGGGTTAATTGTGGAATTTAGTTTTAAGAATCTCTCATTGTGCGCGCGATACTGTCAAGCAATGAAGTATATTCGTTGAATGCAGGACAAATGTACCTATAACATATTTTGGCGAAAAACTAAAACAACACGAAGAAGAATTACATGTGTTTCTGAAAAATAAGTAATTCAACGTTGAAAAGATTAGTATCATTTCCAGTTTAATAATGACATTTATACTCGTCAAACGATCTGACATATATATCTGAAATTAAATAAACACAACTAATGCAGAAATTTTTAACCTCTTCTAGTTCATACAATTGTAAATGAAACTTGAGTTTATTTAACATTAACATAGTTAAATCCGGCCACGAACAAAATCTGATTTTTCAATAGTAAATTATTTTGTTCACTTTGTTCTTTATGGCGTAGGTATATATTTTTTAGGGGTATGTTTCTATTGTAACCCATTGGACAATAAGAGGTTAACAGAACTATCGAACAGTCGGATTGACTTTTTCAAATTTTTCTGCAGGAACTCTAAGAGTGTATCTATTGACATTTCAATTGACTTATGATTTAGTTTGTGTGTTACTATATAAATTACTAATTTCTCAGAGAAGCATCTGTAGCCTTTTTAATAATTAAAACTGCAACGAAGTGTCCAGAAGCGTTAATATCCTATTATAATAAAGTTTAGTATACAAATTTTCACTATTTAAAATTTCAGTTGATGTTTTCATTAATAAGACTTTAAAAAGGTGTCCATCATATCGTTCTATTTGCTAATAACGGAAATTGAATAGTTGCTGAAGAATTTTTCTCCACCGCAATGAGAACATGACAGTGTATATGCACATAGTAAACTAGTTATAATCAATACTGTAACATAGAATAACTTTTTAACCGAGATTACTGGGACGTAGTAGCCTGGGGCAAGAATAAACAAGTGTATAACTGTCCATTGAAACTATGAGCGTAGTTTCTGAATGATCGCTGCAATAATATACCTCTATATGCCGCATATATCCCATAAAGCAAATCACGGAATGTATGTTATTTAATATAGATTATCTAATTTCAGATATGTATGTCGAATCTATCTATAACTTTACACATATTTTTTCTGGATTATATATTTAAAAATTTTACATGTCTCTATGTGTTAACAAAGAAGTCTTTCACTTTAATTTGTTATCCCTTTTTCTCCATATTCCTTGTATACCTATTGCTTTTCTTCGTTTACTATTTTCTTTCTTTCAATTCTATAACTTTTGCTATCCCTATTCCGTTCCTATCCTTGCATTAAAATCTCTTTCAGTAATCACCATTTTCGATCTTCTGTATTGTTAGTTGTATTCTTCATATATTTTAACGCATTCATAAGTTTTCTCTGTTATCGGCAGTTCTATTAATTTAATAATATTTCATTCCTCAATTTCTGAAACTTCCCCCTCTTTTTATTATACTTGTCGATTCAAGATTGCTATTTTCTTGTAACACTTGTAAATTTAATAATATCATTTTCCTGTAAATTAAAAAGTATTATTTAAGAATATTATATTTTTATCCTCCTTTCTTACGTCATTTTATTTTTCTTGTTTTCAACTCTTAATCTTTTCTCTAACTCCTTTCCTCTCTTCGCAGTTTGGACTTTCTTCCCTTTCGGTTTGCATTTTTTAACACCACTCTTCCTCGTTCCACATCCATCATCTTTTCCCTTCTCTTGCACCGCTACTCATCTTAGTCTGTAATATATTTTCCCTTATATCGTGGCAAACCTGTCTCATTTCTCTCCAACTTTCCTTCTGAATTATTCTTTCTCCTCTTTACCATTTTTCTCGTCGTCTCTGACTCGAAGCTTATTACCATTCCTTTACCCTCCTTTTATATCAATTTAATTTACTTTCTGCAGCTATATTTCTCCATGTAATTAACATTTTATTAACTGTTTTATTCTTTTATCATTATCTTCATCTTTTTCTTCTAGTTTCTATTCATCCCTTTCAGTATTCTAAGCTTCTTTCTATTTCCCTAATTGCCTCCTTCATTTCTTATGCTCTTTTATCTCCTCCATTTCATCTTTTCTGCTCCTCATTTTTTCCACTTTTCTTGATACCTTTTTCATTATTCCTTTTATTTCGACCTTTATAGCCCCTTCTCTTTTTATCTCCTGCTCCTTTGCATACATTCTTGTCATACCCAATTTTTTTTAGTGTTATTGCTAATTTTATTCATTCTCTTATTTGAAGTTTTCTACCGTTTTTATTCCTTTTAATTTCTTCTTCCTTATCTTCTTAATTTTAATTGACGTGTTAAGTGCCAATGTATTACTGCAGGTTTCAATATTTTTCCATTTGTGTTTTGCGAAGGAAATTTTTTGAGAGAAGAATATTTATTGTTTCTATCATATTTAATCGTTTAAATTCGATGGGTCTTTGCAATAATCCTTTCTAAATGTGCCAAACGATGCAATCGCGCTTCCTTCGTTTCAGCTCACAAACTGAACGACGCTTTCCTATTTTTACATAAAGGAATTCTAAATAATGCGATCATTCCATTTTTCTATTTATAAGCAGGTTATAACAAAAATAAAAATAAGTAATTAGAAGGAAAACGAGTAATTAAACTGAATTTGATTCTACGAACCGATAGGCTGACACTTTTAAGCAGTGTAACACATATTCCGTCACTTGCTACGCAAACGTTTAAGACAGGAATATTGTTTGTATGATATTAATCCCTTGTCCTACAATCTAATTTCGTATCGATTTAGTTAGAACTACTTATCATTAATTATGCATTAGTAAAACAAAAAATTTCACGCTCTTTCTATGCCCAGAATTACTTTAAATGATACAAATTGTTATCACGAAACATAATGTTCCATTCGGATTCAAAGAAGCTGAATGACATCTATATGTGTTAAATAACATTAGAAATTTAAATTTTAACAGAATCGAATAATACAGGGTATTCTGTTTCATTTTCATTTGTTCACAGGCGGTATATTTTTTGCGAATAAAATGCGAGAACAGGGGTACATCACGATGTTAGATCCACTTCAGGATGCGTTTGGTGAACGCATGGGGGGCCTTCTATTTCTTCCTGCCCTCTGCGGTGAGGTGTTCTGGGCTGCGGGTATTCTGGCAGCGCTGGGTGCTACAATAGCAGTCATCGTCGACCTAGAACAAGGTGCCTCAGTCATTTTGAGCGCCTGTATCGCAGTTTTGTATACTCTCTTCGGAGGTCTTTATTCTGTTGCTTATACTGACGTTATTCAACTGTTTTGCATCTTCATTGGGCTGGTAAGTTACACGATATTTCATTATTTTATTGTTATCTTCGTGTTCTTATTTTTATTCGTGGAATATGTTGATGGTAAACTTGTTTATTTACCTTTGGAACACCTTGTGTAGTTCTTTTATGTTTTGTGACGTTTTTTCATCAATTGATGGTACATAAGTATATGTATGTATCTACAATAAATGTGTATACCATCAATCAGAAATATTGGATTATTTATTTGAGCAATATAAAGTTTAGATATTTTAGTGGAGACTGTGGGAGTAAATGTTGCTTCTGTATTCTTTATTATATTATTATGTTAATAATCGTCGATTAACTATATTAATCGCCTTAATAGTAATTTAATATACCTATAAATTCCATAAATGAAAATAAATTTGAATATTGAGTTCGATTAATGTAAAATTTAACAAAACGTTGCACTTTTATCTGCTTAACTATGTTTTCTCTATCCAATGGCACAAAAGTAAAAACTTTTAAATAGAATAGTTAATGATACAATAGTTTCCAAGAAAAAGTTAAATCAAAGTGTTCTTTAATGTTATTTGACGTAGTTGACGTTAATAAAACAAGATCTACAAGACTTAAACGAGAAAGGTATAATGAACTCATAAAATTGTTCACTATGTAACACCATGACACACGTTGTACCTACTTATTTCGAGAAGTGCAAATTTTGTTCATGTGCATTGTTTAAAAGCACATGTTGTAATCTTGTTGCAGTGGTTGTGCATTCCATTCGCGTGGTCGAATCCAAAGGTAGACTCTCTTAGTTCTATGGATGTGGATTGGATCGGTGAAGTGCAGCCAAATCAATACTGGTCTTATCTAGATAATGGCCTGTTGTTGGTGTTCGGTGGTATTCCGTGGCAAGTGTATTTTCAACGAGTCTTGTCTTCGAAAACAGCGGGAAGAGCTCAACTGTTGAGTTACGTGGCTGCCGCAGGCTGTATTCTCATGGCTATACCGCCAGTGCTGATCGGAGCCATCGCCAAAGCGACAGGTAAGTGACATTTATGTTTAATTTATTTTTTAACCCCTTGCCTTATAATAACGTGTCAGATTCGCGATGAGAATTTCAAGTTGAATTCGACAAATTTGAATGTCATTTATTTATTTTTAACATAAACTGAATTTTACTTGTTTATTATCAATCTTTAATATTTGTAATAAACATAGACACAGAATAAATATAAAATGCTGTTCTTTTCTTACTAAATTATTAACGATAAACTTATTTCGTCATGTACAGTTGAGAAATAAATCATAGGGCAAGGAGTTAATCTAATTTAAAATATGATAATCTGTTAGATACCAAAAAAAGTTTGTGTGGTTTTTTGTTAGTAATTAATTAAGCTCCGATTTCAGTCAGTATTTCAATAGTTTAATGAATGGAGTTAGCAGCAAGTTATGTCCATCCCGTTGGTATAAAATGAAATAACATTATTCTACAAAAACGTTCTCTGAGTTTAAATTTTCATTTAAGAAACCGTGCTAACTATTTATTCTAATATCTAATCTCATATAAAGTATGATAATTTAAATCTAATATAAAATACGATAATCTCAATTTAATTCAATATATGATAGTTTAAAATATGAAATTACTTCGTAATCAATTTTGATACTCGCATATAATTCTGTTTGTTCGTTCACTTAATCAATAACGGTATTACTATTTAAAAATTCATTTAATTCATTTTAGTGTCTTGTTATATTTTATTATACGTGGTACACTGGGTAACGTTGTAATTAATTAAATTATGTTGCGTTTTTTATGTTAACATAAGACGTGATACTGACATGATTTACTGAGGATCTGTTCATGTGCATATTTTCTATTTAAAGTAATTATTTATAAGTTAACCTTGCATAGCCTATTCATATACTTATCCTTGTCACGTATAATTAGAGACAAATCAATGTAACGTGAATTTCTTGGTTCAATTTCAGTTTTTGCTAGTTATTGTGATTCAGGTAGAGTAGTGCCTTTTTGCTGAGAAAATATTAATGAATGCACTAAATGGATTATATGATTAATTAAATTCATTTTTATTTTTTATAATAGAGTAGATTATTTGTAAATTTACTGAACAATTAGAAAAAGATGTTTGATCGTACGTGGTAAATATAATTTCTATCGTAACATTCAGTTTCATACTCTAGGATCTACATACATGTATATTCGTCGTTTCAAATACCTCTACATTATAATATAATTTTGACAACGTAAAAATATCTGACTAATTTGATCGATAAACATGAAATCAAATTTAAAATTGAAATTCCAATCGAAATTAACATATTAATATTCGTACATTAAAGAATTGGCAAAACATTATCCAATGAAAGAAATATGAATGTCGCGTATAACAAGTTTCGGAGTCACCGTATACATCATTATTACACTACGATTCTTTATACAAATTCAAATTTTTCAGAAATAGGGATACAATAGAAAATGATTTTTCTAATGAATATTATAAAGAGCACTACACATTGAATATTTACAGTCTTGGATTTTTAAATTTCCCATGAATTCATAAAAATCCACAGTCAATATATAATTATTATTATCAACATAATAATTATCAATAGTAACATCATTATTAATAAAAACATAGATATTTTAAGATCTCCACTCTCGGTCAGGAAAAGTGGCACTATTATTAATAATAATTATTCTTATCATTAACGTAGGCAACATAGTATCACTTTTCTTGCTTGACGGCGAACAGCCTAAAATATCTATGTTTCATGGGTACCCGATGCTAAAAGGGATCGAATTAGACCCGGTTTGCTCTTCAACCCCCTCCGTTTCCCATTCGAAGGCTACTTGACATTTGCTGCTATTGCAGACGGAGAGAGAACTGCTGGTATTTACAAGGTTCTAGGGCTAAGCGGGTCGGTGTTGTAACGGAAGGGTGTGCAAGCGAAGGGTGCTTTGATATCCCACAGCGTGTACAATAGCGTGGGATTTTGCCATATGGCATTCTAGGCGCGAGGGCGAGGGTGATAATGCGACTCGTCCACTAACACGCGGTATAGTAGAATCACCGGAACTAATACGACATCGTGTATCTGTATCTTCTGTATTTTTGTTTTTGTTTCCTATACATCGGAATAACCCTTTCCTTTATCGTGCTGGACGATTCATCTGGACTAAAGGGGGGATGGGAAGATTTCTCGTATTCTTATAAGCAGTGAAATAAAAGATAAATAGGTACCAAATGATTCTGTAATTTTTCAAGCAAAAATTTTAGAATCATATTTGTATAGTTAGAATTTTATTTTTATAGTCACTTTAGAATTCACATTATCTAGTATAATCATCTTGAATTTTGTTTGTATAGGTATCTAATTTCGCCTCTTTGTAAATTGTGTATTATGTAAAATAATGTTAAAGAAAAGTTTTGATAAAAGGAGTCACAGAAGGTAGTAATTAGTTTATCATTGTTTGGATTTTTTAACTTGATATGGATAGCGTTCTGTCTTTTTACAGTGACATATTTAATTTGATTAAGAGTTTTTGAAGATCCAGTAATGAGAGCAATGTTTCATATGCAATAATTTAAGATTTTTGAGGATTATTTATTTTTTTTTATTAATGGTGGAAATATTGAACTCTGTTACAGCTTGGAACGAGACACAGTACAGTGGCCCTTATCCGCTCACGGAGACGGAAACGACCATGATTCTACCGTTGGTCTTGCAATATTTAACTCCAGATTTCGTTTCCTTTTTCGGGTTAGGCGCAGTATCAGCAGCAGTAATGTCTTCTGCAGACAGTAGCATTCTCTCAGCTAGCTCCATGTTTGCCAGAAACGTGTATAAATTAATCTTCCGTCAGAGGGTAAGTTCATCTTCGACGATTTCCTCTAAAATGGCTTCATTACCATCATCACAATCATCGTCACCATCATCATCATGCTCATCATAATCATCAATCGAAACCAAGACATGTAAGCCCAAACATCATTATCACTGCTTTAAATCAAATGCAAAAGAAAGTAGACTTCTAAACATATTAATAGTCCCTTCTTAATTCATATCATTAAAACAGGGTTACCAATTTAATCGAAATGATATAATGGTCGAATATAAACGAAATATTACAAATTTATTATCTGCCTTTATCAATGGGGGTTGAAACAAATTAATCCGGAGATTATTATATGCGGCAGTGTTTTCATTAGATTCAATTATTTTCAGATTTCGTTGCTTTGCAATCTGTAGTCAGTCTACTTTGTTACAATTCGTCACACTAACTCTCGTAAAATCGATCGTACGTAATTGTCCAATGTGCATTCCTAGACAAAGGGATAGCACGTGTGTGCTATTATTACATTCTCATGTCGATGTTCGAAAATATTGACATTCTTTTATGTAGTTATTACTTAAAATTGCTTCTTGGCAATATACAAGCACGATGTACATGTAAAAATTTTTATTGACTATGTTATTGGTGATTGATATTTTGAAGATTGATCATTTCGAAGCATTCATCAATCACCTAAAAAACTTTGAACATACACATGAGAACTTAATCCGTTATATTTCGAATAATATCACTCTTTATACTATTTTCTTTATTCGGAATACTTAACACTACTCAAAAAACATAATATTACATATAATACTTATATACAACAATCTTTACAACCATTAATTCAATTAATGAATCGGCTAAAAAGAAAATCTAAACTGGCTCACTGCAGCATTTCAATGACGTTTAATACACAAATATTACTTAAAGCATTACTTAAATATGATACCACAGTACTTAACCTCGTGCCCAATGATATTGTGTCAAACTCGTGATGAAAGTTTTCAATTAAATTTGTCAAATCTAAATGTTACCTGTCGTTCAAAAATATAAATTAAATATTTCTTTCCTATTGTCAATGGTTAACGTCTAAAGTAAATGTAGCGAATGGAATAAGTACCAAATTCTCTTTGTTCTAATAAATTCGTAAGGGTAAACTAGTGAAAGAAATCATAGGGCAAGGGGTTAACCCATTTTCTTCATACCCAAAAGTATCTTCTATTTATCTAATACAACGACATTCAAAGCATCATCCAAAACTATCGTAGTACTCAAAATGGCTTCCCCACAAAAGTACCTTCAAGCGCACAAAGTTCCAAATACGACAGCACACGTGTCATCAATTCGTCCAAGAGTTCAAACACCTTCCCGCTGTCACGACCCATAGAATTCCGTGACAAAATTCTCCTTCCGTCTGTACAACCATTTTCCCGCGCAGGCGTCGGAAATGGAGATCATCTGGGTGATGCGCGCGGGCATAGGCGTAGTCGGTGTCTTGAGCACGGTGATGGCGTTAACGATCCCTTCGATCTACGGCCTCTGGTCAATGTGCTCGGACCTGGTCTACGTGATCCTCTTCCCCCAACTGTTGATGGTGGTCCATTTCAAAGACTACTGTAACACGTACGGCAGCCTGGCTGCCTACATAATAGCGTTCTTGGTGAGGGTCAGCGGCGGTGAGCCGATGATGGGATTGCCCGCGTTGATCCATTACCCGGGGTACGACGAGGAAACAGACACACAGGGGTTCCCGTTCAGAACGATGGCGATGCTGATGTCCTTGGTGACACTGGTCGGCGTGTCCTACGGGACGCAGGTGGCCTTCCTGACCGGCAGGCTGGCACCCGGCTACGACGTCTTCAGGTGTGTCGTCAACATACCGGAAGATGTCGAGAGAGTCGGCCCGGACCCGGCCGAAGGCGAGCAAATGGCTGTCCTGGCTGCCGGGGCTGGCAGGCTTTACGGCAGCAAGGATGAATCGAACGGACGAGTGAATCCTGCGCTCGAGCCGGACTACGACATGGACCCGGGATGCAAGGTCGCTGGGATGACGACGGACAGCGTCGTTGGCGGGGGCAGCGGCAGCGGACATTTCGCCCCTCACAGTGCCAACGCGCCCAGGCAACCGCAATCTAGTACCGCGTTCTAATCCCTGGTTCCATGATCGGATGCTGTGACCAACAATAAGCGCGGCGGTGCGGGTTTGCGTTTTGTTGGACGTCCCGAGATTTTTCGTTCGGTGAGTGGTTCTGTTCTGTTCCTTTCCTCTTTCGTTCACTTTCACGCGGCCGCGTGAGCCTCTTCGAGCGGGCCGCGGAGAGAGTACACTTTGTAGAGACATAGAGGATGCCTACGTTTAAAGGTTTGTCCATGCGTCTGATTATCAACTAGCTTTTTCATGAGCTCATGAAATTTTTAGTAGAGTTGTCGTGTGTTTGAATAGGACCAACTTTGGATCTGGTTGGAATATATAGATGTCTAGGGATAGTCTCGTGCAGAAATCGGACCAGACGTATCGATACAGTGATTTTGGTAATTATTAACCCCTTGGTGTGTGATTTCTTTCATGGCTACGATTGTAGGACTTAGTTTGTTGTTCATGGTTTTAGGGAATGAGAGGAGGTTTTGTGTTTATTGTGAGTATATTTCTACTTTGTAAGTAGAAAGTTGATAATAGCTAAATAGTCTGTTTCAATTTGTTCTTAAAGTAATAATACTGATTTTCGTTAAGATGAGCTAGAAATCTTCAAGGGGTTAATATTTATTGATATAGTTTGTATGTACACAAACTTTACTATGTGTGATATATCGTGTATTACACGTTCTCGTTGATTCGTTAATTGGGACACCTGTGATATGAGATCTAGTATACGAATCCAGTTGATTATGATAAAAATCATTTGGATTCAACGCAGAAGTAACTCAACGCTAACCTCACATAGATTCTATCCAAACCTGAACGAAACTAATTCAAATCTGACCTGATCCTGATATATCAAAAAAGCTTTTTGATAAGTCAGACGCACACCAATAATTTTTGTTTCGTCGACTGGTTTTTAAAAATATTATTATCTAACACTTGTTATTTTATTTACCCCGATTATTCTCCCCATTTTTTATTTTCCCTCGCCTGTGTCTGTGAAGCTCCGATATGATTCAATCTCGAGTTCTATTAATACGAATCTCTCTCTTTTTCTCTTACTCATTTTTCCCCTCTTTCTCTTTATTTTCTCCTTAGATCCCTCTAACATTCTCTTTTTTTCTTTTCCTGTCTACTATTCTCTTCCTTTCTTTTCCTCTCTACCCCTATCTATTTCTTTTCTCTTTCCCTCTTTTTCTCCATCTACAATATATTGTTTTCCCTCCCATTCTCTTTCCAATTCTTAACATTTCTCCTTCTCGCGGTTCACAATAGTGACCGTAACATTAACCTGTACCTGTCTGAATTCAGTTCATTCGTGTTCACCAACGCGTTAATAGAGAAAGAAATAGATCGAGAATGGTACGAAACGTAAACGAATGAACTTTCGCGGAGCCGAGTGGCAAGTGACGAAAACACTTGATCGAAGCTTCCCGGACAGTCCGGCGAGGTGATCCTTGCCTGTACCGCCAATTAGGCCTAGTCATTTCCTTTTTGAGAAATATATATATATAAAAAAAAACAAATTATATTTATATATAATTATATATCTGTTCATATATACATATATATATAATTATATATGACTATATTACATATATTTAGAGTTTATCAAACTGCTTGAGAGGAGTAACGTCTTGCACGACCAATCCGTTCAGAAATCTAGGGAATTCCGATCGGCCATCGATCGTTCCACTCGATCTCTAATTTCTAGTACGAATTGACGAAGGGTAAACCGGATCGATCTGATTAGAAATTAGAAATCCATTCAAGACGAGCGGCTGCCAAGATGGAGTCTTTAGGAAAATGTACAAAGAATTCTCGAAAATTCGTTCCGTTACCGGCTCGAATTCCGCTAGACGGCGTGCATTAATTACAATATCTATACATATTTATGGAATCTGATCTCGAAATATCGCGCTACGGATTATCGAGGGAATTAATCCCGGTAACGGCGCGAATCGATCAGAGGTTTTGTGTGCGAAGTTACTAGAACGAGAAGAATTTAGGATCACGTTATCGTTTGTTAGTCTTCTTCCACGTTCCTCGCCACTCACGAGATAATTGTTGCTAGGGGAAATAAAATATAAAAAGGAGAAAAAAAAAATGAAATAATACGAAAAAAAAGTAAGATTACAGAGTAAGTCAAGAAGCTTTTGTACTCGATTGTTCTTCCCTTGCTTAGACCGACTGGATATGTAGATGATACGTAAGTAGATATGTTTTTACTATGGAACCGAGGAGACCGGTAGATGTTACTGACTAGCCCGTTTCGCAGTCGCTCGTGTAGGGATTACGCTCAGGACTCTTTCGACTCGCGCACGAAAGTCCGAATCTTTTAACTAGAGACTTAGAATTAAGGAAATTGGAAGAAACTGTGTCAGACACCGAAGAAAGTGTTTCTCCAGTTAATTTGTTCTTTTTTAAATCATTTTTACCATGCCTTTCTTTATTTTCTTTTGACAAGTCACGTTTGAAATTCTGTCTGAAGTCACTTATCATATTTGATTTTACTTATTATTTTAATTAACACGTTGAGTACCACGGGGGTCATCGGTGACTCCAAATCGAATTACTGTAGTTCGCTCAATAAAACGATGATTATTTGAAAACATTTTTATATTATAAATAATGTTATCCAATGCGATGACATTTAGCTAGATGAACGTGCAATAATAATAATGCAATTCAATCAAATTATTTAATGTTTTATCTTTTCCATTTCGTGTATTTTGCTGTATGAAATCGTACGGCATTCAACGTGTTAATGGCAATGAGAAAACAAAGAATTGACAATTTTGGACTTTGAATAATTAGAAGTGAATATTGGGAAGTTTTTGTTTCATTTCTATATTGAACGGCTAAGTGAACGTTGATCTTATGTTCAGTTCATCGAGTCTCGTGTGCGTTTCGTGAGTCATTAAGAAATTACTTGCGAGAACTTCAAAGGAACGCCAGTCAACTGTAGCACGTCGCTTTTGATGATATTTGATATTAAAGTGGAACCTTTATCAATGTCTTATTTTTTACTTGACGATTAATATTCATGTTGCGGATGTAAAAAATGCCTCCGGTGTTATGAATAATTAGTTCACGTTCTTACATTTCATCTAAAGTGGTAGAATTAAAATAGCATTTGCTGCTAAAATAGTTTCTTGTAATTTTTGTTATACAGAGCTATAAAATTTCCTAAAAATTCATAGATACAAGGTGTAGTAGTGTAAAAAAATGATCCTTTTGAATTTATTCAAATTTATCAGCAGTGTATACAGTATTATTTTATAATGTATACAGATTTTCATTTTAATTCTTTTTCTGTATATAAAAAGTTATCGCCTATATAAAAAAAAGTATTTCACGAAAACATTGAATTGTTTCAAGAGAAATATAATTTGGTGTTTGTAATATCTTTTGTAGATACACGCGAAGAAGGTGATGAAAAATTCATTTTCTATTTTCAAATGGAATCATCTTGGAGAAATACTTTAATTTCAATAACTTCAAACTTCTACTGAAATACCAAAATATTTTTTTAGATAATTGATATTCCACATAAGTAGCTTAACAATCTGATGTGACTTTTACACGTTCATCTATACAAAACTGACATCATATTATATACCTCTCAAAACTATTCGATCTTTACCTAAAACTAAAACATTTTTTGTTACTGTTAAAGAATTTGAAGAAATTCAAAGGCTCGATTTTAAAATGTAACACCCAATAAAATACAGGCTCTGGTTTATATATTTCTCCAACGATCAGTGCAATAATTGTATTGTTAACGTTAATTAACTTCTCTTCAAATTTAAAATCAAATCATCTACTTTCCAATAGATTTCTATTTTTTTATGAAATTAAAATTCAAAATTGGTTAAAATTTATATTTCCAGTTTATGTGAGACAAATATAATTAAATATGATTTTTGGTAAAATATAAAATAGAATCATCGATTATCCGAATTCAGAGAGAGACAAATACCGTAAGCGATTTCTCGGACAAGAAGAACCTAATGTGCAAATATATAATATAATAATTAGTACGTGTTCCAAAATATAAACATTAATATATAGTCTTGATACGTGACTCATTGTATGTTCTGATAATCGGTTCTTCGAACAACCTGTATTCGGATAATCAATCACGATCTACTGCAATACATTTAATGCATACCTGCTAAATGCAACAATTAACGAACCTAATTTCTTGAAGATTTCATTCATGAAAGAATCAGTTGTGCTAAATTCCGTTATACGAATCTATAGTCTCCATTCATATCCATAATCGTATTTTTTATAAGAAATTCCTCGAATGACCAGAAATGTTCTGGTTCCCAACCAAACATCACCAAAAGCTATCGATGCTAATTGTTAAACGGATCGATCGTCGCACAGATTCGTTGTGTTTATTATATAGTATATACATATATATATATATATACAGTGTGTAATATAATGGGAATAACCGACATTGAAACGAGACGAACGAGTTTTAGCATCAGAATAACCCGAATATGTATACATAATGTACACATTATACAAACATACACGAGAAAGCTAAAAAGAAAAAAGGAAAGAAAAGTGCTGTAGACCGTTAAACAGAATACGAATTTCCGTCATTGTCGATTTCGTTGTTTGATTTTATTACATTGTTTGAGCATAGCCACCGTTGTTCACACGTTAATGCCTATATAGTAGAGTTATCGCTCATCGCAGCTTCTTATCCTATTGTTTCTAGCTGAGAACAAGGTGAAATCTAGTACTTACTTGTTAAACGAGTAGTTCCTACTCTGCGTGTCCGAATTTCACGGTGTTTTCTCAACGAACAGATATTTTTCATAGCCGAACGATATATCGAGGCGAATCGTTTTTCTACCGGTTTCGTTGATGTTTATTCATGGGATACTTAGCAACGTCCTAAATTCAGGTAACCTCCGTATAACACGGTTGTTACGTTCCTAAAAGATGCTGTGCTATGCGAGTCTGTGTTATACGAAACAAAGAACTAGCGCAAAAGTGGGAGTTAGCTTCGAAAAATTAGGAAAACATAATTACCATTTCTAAAAGAGGTTTAATAATATGCAACCGAAAATTTTTAACTTATATATAACGTAGTAAAAATAAAACACAAAGTTTGAAAACGTACTTGATACTCCACGGACAAAATAAGATTTCAAATCCTAATAAATTTCAAAACTCTGCAGGCAAATCTGATACGACATACACGCTCGAACGAAACATTTCCAATGAGATATCTGGCGTACTTAAAGGCTCTTATATCGTTCCGCGTTGTACGTGGATTTCTCTAATTTCGAATTTTGCTCTTAAAAACTTTACGCGTTGTACGGGGATTTCTCTAATTCTCAGATCATGTCAGAGTGAAACCGTGTTATAAAAGTACCGTGTCGTGCGGGGGTTACCTGTACATTCTTTATCTTTCCGTTAACGAGGAGATTATAGAATTTAGAGTTCCGTTTCCTTTTTACTTCGTTAAAAGATTACGAACACTAAATTCTTACTTATTGTTATCAATTACCTCGCCAAGCACTAATCGATAATAAGGTATTTATCATTGAGTGAATGCAGAGTCGAGCGTTCTCCGAATGAACTTTTCTTCGTTTTTATTGCCTTGTAAACTGAACAAGGTATCTCGAATGTAAAAATTGGAATTAAACGGAGATTCAAGGAGTAAACTTACATAAAGACAATTTTATAAATTATATATTATAAATACATGATAACATATAATTGTATATTATGAATTACGCTTTATTAGATTTTTAGATGGAACCTTATATTTAAATTTCTCTTTTTTCCGTTTAATGTTGGGAAAGATATTTGCTTGACTCTGAGTAAACGGAACCGCTGCCATATTGCGTGAATGATCGTTGAAAAAAATGTCGATCGGTCAGCCTGTCTATCGAAGGTGATCCTCTTTCTTGTGAAACAATGAATTATTGTTTACAATCATTTAAAAACGAATTATAATTTCGAACTTTTTCAATCCACATAATAATATAGAGTTAAAAGAAATGTTAAAAGAAATTTTTTAAGTAATATACCTCTGTCAACTTCACAAGATTTTTTAACAAACTTGTGTAAAAATATGCAATACAATCTATAATAAATTGAAAAAAAATAACGACAAATAAATTAATCTTTGATTCACAATAATATTCAATTTCTAACATGTATTTTATATTTAAATAATATTTTACTAAGATTTATTATTAATACAATGCTATTTCAAACCACTAAGATTTATTGTTAATATAATGGTGCTCGGAAACTCAATAACCATAATATTAAAATATTTGATTTTTAATTTGTTCTTTGAACGATAGTATTAACAAATTCAATAGCCATGACATTCAAATATTCAATTTCTAATTCGTTCTTCAAACAATGATACTACAAGATTCGATAAATTCATAACTTTAAATTAACAAAATTCATGAGATTCAAACAAATCGTTTACAAAACGAATTTATTAAAAACCTCGAAAGGCAGTCTATGGCGAAGAAACGAAGGCCAATAGTACCGGAAACAGTATTTTGATGAGTAACAATGTAACAGTGTACGTGTCGCTTGTCAAGCGAGAAATTCGCGCGACGACGAAGGTGAAATTACGTCTGGATGGGCTGACAGTGACTGGAGATGGTGCAGCAGGTGCACACAGATGCATCTTCCACGTATTTTCGTACTATTGGCGGATACTAGGACTTTCACTCAGGTATCGAGCCTGAAAGACCGAAGACAACAGAACAGAAACAACAATTATTGTTATTACAATTCCCGGCAAGGCCACTTTATAGCTGACTGTCTCCCTTTTACGACGAGAAACTGAATTAGACGACCGTAAAATGTTTCTTTGTCAGCGACCGAAATTACACTGTTGGAAGATTGCGGATTGAAGGAACAATTAGTCAAGAGATAGTGGATTAAGGATTCCGAGTTCGTTGGATCTAATCGGTTTCGAACTAGCTGCTTGACCAGAGATCTTGGGAGACCCGATATAAAAGATCAGAATCAATGGCTATTGATTCATTGATGGATGAACAATTATTGAAAGAAAAATTTCTTTTATAATTATTCGATTGTTCTTTAACTCTAAAATTACCAGATGGGTTAAACTGATTAAAAAAATTGATTTAGCAGTACGCAAAGTGAATTGTAAATCAATTAAAGTCTAGATAGATGCATTCTTAGAATTTCTATAGAGGAATTTTAAAAAATCGTATGTTGAAACTTACTAATTGGAAATATCATTGTTAATTTGTAATATAATTTGTTATTTCTACGAGTTATCAGTTGTATCTATCAACTGTGATTTTTTCGGATAAATATTATATTTATTATTGAATTACTTCTTGTGATAATTACATTTAATATTAACATAAGAATTTATGAAGTGGACAGTAATGAGAAAATTATTATTACATGAATTCTTGGACTTGGGAAAATTTAATTTTAGAACTATCGAGAGGTTGACAAGAGGTATTGGGAAAAGATTGATAAAAGATCCAAAAACATTTCACAAAGCTCGGACCTTAAACAAATTTCCAGAGAAGGAACATCAATATTAAAAGTTATTATTATCAACGTAATACATTCCAAATTATTTTTCGAATTTTTAT